GGGGGGGGGGGGGGGGGGGGGGGGGGGGGGGGGGGGGGGGGGGGGGGGGGGGGGGGGGGGGGGGGGGGGGGGGGGGGGGGGGGGGGGGGGGGGGGGGGGGGGGGGGGGGGGGGGGGGGGGGGGGGAAGAATTGACCGGACTACAATAATGCCATCCCGGGCTTAGCAACGCGCGTTAGACTAGCATGGAAGAGGGATGAGGGCGAGAGACAGAGAGAGAGAGAGTTGAGAGACAGCGTGAGAGTGTAGCTATATCTGGATAAACGCCATACTGTGGCTGCTGTGCGTGTGTACGTGTGTGCCTGTCTTGCGTTGGCCGGGGATCCCGGCCACTGCTCAGTAGTTTAGGCATCTTGGACTCCGTCACCATCCCCAGCGCTCCCAACAAGCAGCTGGGAGCTCACTATTAAGCGCGGGCGGCCACGGGGCAACGGGCCACGCGACGACTAGTGGCCGGGATGATGTTTCTTGCGGGTGCGTGGGAAGGCTTCTTCGCGGCTTCGCTGGCGTTGCTTGGTAATAATGGACTGCTCCAGGGCGCGCGCTGGCAGGATTCGCTATTGTCTTGTCGTGCTGGGCAGCGCCTTCAGCCTTGCTGGCCCACTCCGTCATCTCCGGCCGGCGTTGCAGCGCCAGACGGGCTTGACGGGTGAGGGCGAGGTGAAGCAATATTAAATAGGTAGGTAGTTAGGTAGTGAACTACCGATGTAGTTAGTTCGTCAACTCGGCGCTCCGTAGTGACTTTCCTAATTAGTGAGTCTCTTCGTGCTCACAACAACCTCATCTCAACCTCACGATACCCCTTGGATGACACACACTCTCTCCAGCACCACACTCGTCTCTGTCTCTGTATCGGTCTCTGTCTCTCCCTTTCTCTCTCTCTCTCTCTCTCTCTGATCTCTACCTCTCTTCCCGTCTTTCTTTCTCTCTGCTGCATCAGCCACACCACCCGCTCTGTGCCCAGACCCAAAGGATTCATCCCCCCAGCGCGCAGGCCCGCCCAAAGTCAATCTGCGTGCGATGGAACACGCCGATATGGAGCCTGGCGGGCTTCTGCCGTCCTTCGAGCTGATCCCGCCGTCTGTCTGCCCACGCCCGGCCTGGCGCGCGGAACACCCTCAGGCCGGGGGGGGGGGATGACGGGGCGGTGGCGGCACACGCAGACTCTCTCACCAGGCTCACAGACACTCACAGACTCCTGCATGGCCTTGCTGTGTCCGTCTTGACCCGCCTCTAGCTGACTGCCCGTCCTCGACAGTCGCAGGGGGATGCTGGCCCCTTCTCCGCGGTCTGATACACACCCGCTTGCTCGCGCGCGCGCTCCCCAGTTCATCTCCCTGCCCGCACACGCCCAAGCCGCCGGCGACAGCCTCCCAGGCCGGCGTTCCCTGCGGCACTCCACTCTAGCCAGACCCGGGTCGTTGGCATCTTGGGCGCCGGCTTGACTACGAGCGACGATCGGGGGACCTAGTAGTTTTTGTCTTCTTCCTCTTGCTCTTCTTCTTCTTCTCCTTCCCCTCCTCCTCCACTTATTCTTCTTCCTCTTACTCCGCCTCCTCTATTATTTCTCTCCGAAAGAAGAACACGCGCGAGACGCACTGCAGAATATACACCACCGATACCCAAAACCATGCCCTGTGGACATTACTGCTGATCCCTCGCCGTCTCCCACGCCGTCTTCGCCCAAGATGTTGGGCCGTTCGCTGGCGAGCATGTCTTTGCTGCCACTGCTGCTCCCCCTCACAGCCCTCGGGGCCGCTGTCAACAGCCAGCAGCCTCCGCCCGCCGCCTCTCCGCCCCCTTCTCCCTCTCCTACTTCTCCTTCTCCGCCTCCACCAGCCTCTTCTACTCCTCCTCCCTCTACCAATCCGCCCTCATCGCCCTCGCCACCACCAACACCCTCACTACCACTTTCTACGACACCATCATCCACCTCCTCCCGCAGCCCCGCCACCCATACTGTACAGGTTGGCCCAAAATCCGACCCGCACAAGTACGTCCCGCGTTCCCTCAAAGCTGAAGTGGGAGACACGGTCATATTCGAGTTCTATCCCCGAAACCATTCCGTCGTGCAGGCGGATTTCATGTCACCATGTGTGCCGGCGTCAGGAAACTACTTCTATTCAGGGATCTTCAATCAGTATGAGGAGAAGGACGGTGTCTTAGTAGGAAAGGTGCGTCGTGCTCGGTGGAAGCATTCTGCTCTGCTGTTCTTATACTAATTGCATATCTAGGTACCAACTTGGTCGATACGGATCAACGATACAAAGGTGCAGTGCCTTCTGTTTTCGTCCTCACGAACGTGATATGCTAACATTTTATCATAGCCCATATTCTACTACTGTACTGCACTCGACTCATGCATTGGGAATGGAATGGTCGGTGCTATCAATCCGGTACGTTTTCCCCAATTCTCAACCACCTGGCCCCTGGCATGCAGACCTGACAAATACACAGAACCGGACTATGTCCTACGAATCACAATTTGCCAAGGCATTGCAATACCCATACATGCTCGTCCCCGGCCAAGCACCACCCGCGGAAGGCGAGCGACCATCAGCTCCTACGAACACACCAGCAGTGGTGCCGCAAGAGCTAAGCAGTGGCGCCATTGCCGGAATCGTGGTTGGATGTGTCGTTGTTGTGGCTATGCTCGGTGCACTGTTCTTCCTTCTGGGCCGCAACCGGGTCTATCACAAGTGGCTCGCCTCGGAAGACGGTACGGCAAAGGAGCGCACGAGACGATGGGCTCTGAATGGCGGTGACTGGGCCACAAACAGTGAGAAAGACAGCCACATCGCGCCCTCCCAAGTGGGCTACATCAACATCACGTCTCCGGACGGATTACAACCCGGCCCTTACAGCCCACCCCTTCGATCACCGCCGCCCGGCTATCTTGGCTGGGATCGCGCGAATATGTATCAACCACACCCACGAGATGATGGCCCGCCTCCAGAATTAAGCTCTGGTATGGGAGTTCAGTTGGTCGAGCTGGAGGCTCGCCCCATAACCCACCCAAACAAAGAATTATATATGCAACGCGAGGCCGATTTAAGATCTCCTTGAATTTTTCTTTCCCTTCTTTTTTTATTTAGTGCCCGACGAGTATAATATCGGAACGGCAACACCGAACAACACCAGCCCACCCGCCTTTTTTAACCATCTTACAAACGACAGCTTACCTTCTACTTTTCTACCTCATTTATACCGTACTACCTTTTTTTCACGAAAAAGCTGAAATCCTTCCCGAAAACGGCCCTGTCTCGATCCGCATCTCTTTTTTTTTTTTTTTTTTTTTTGACTTCATATTGGAATCACCTCGAACGTCGATCGTCGCCTCGGACCCACATACTAAATAACTAACCGTCCGCTCACCATCCATTGGAATATGAAATACCATCATTTATGCTTCTTGAAAGCTTTTTTGTATATAGAACTCAGTGCTGGGAAGAGTATTACCTCCCTCGAAAATCATCCTTTCTTTTTTTTGGACCCTTTTCTTCTTGTTCTTCTCTTGGGTTTTGTGAGCGATGGAGGAAGAAGTACGGAGTATGATTAGCAGTGTATTAAAGTTACAGGGTGCATGGTGCTAGCGGAGAGAAAGGTAATTTGGCATGACAGCGGATGAACAAGGGACAAGAATCCCAAATCTCTCCTATTTAGCTATTTACTGTGTTATTTAGCGATTTTTTGTATACGATTTGTACAGCCACTATTTTTGTTTTACGTTTGATGCTAATATGATCAGATAAATATTTTATTTTTGGGTTGATGTGATTCGTTTTTTGGTCCAAAAAAAGGGACCAGTTAAATGAAAATAAAAATCAAACTCGAAATACGGAGCACAAACTGTTCGCATTAAAAACATGTAGCTGTCATGATAGCAAGAAACAGCATCCAAAAAAAGTCCTTCAATCTTAAGTATGGATCTCGCAAGGGGTGAGGGGCACTGGGCAAATGTTTCAAAAGTGAGAGAATTGCAGTCTCGAGCCTCGAGCATTACGCACGCCTACGCCAGGGCCAAGGGTGGGCCGGAACAAAACACTTTCCCCCCAAACAACAGATGGCCAGAGCGTCACCCTGGGGGAACGTCAACTAGTTACCTCTTGCAGCACATGTAGCACTTTTTGCAGCAGTTCACGTTAGCCAGAAAAGAGAGAAAAAAAAAAGGTCTTCAGAGAGGCCTAAACGAATCTTGAGGATTCTTCAAGACAAGTACGTACAGTTCTGGTAGGCAGCTTGTAAGGCGTCTCATACTAAAATAGCAAAAGTTAGCTGTGGTTTGACAGGCCACATACTCTGTCAAAGCACCGCCCTAACTACTCCGAAGGTCGGCTGCCGGCATTTGATGCCTGAAAAGCCAAGTGCGCGAAAGCAGCAAGGAACTGAGAAGGGATCTAGAAGAAAAAAAAAAAAAAAGAAGAGGAAACACCACGTACGTAGGGAGGATTGCACCAAGCTTTCTGAGGGTGACATCCCGGCGTGCAGTCATCCAGAAGACCGGCTTTGGCAGGGGAGGGCGCGGCCAAGGCGGCGGTTGTGGCGAGAGCCAGGGCAACGAGGAGGGATTTCAGGTGGAGCATGGCTGCTGATCGCTTTTGGGATCTGGGGTTTTGGTTTTCTTCACAAAACAAATCACAGAGTGCTGCTGGAGGGCTGGGGAATGTGATGGAGACGGCGACGGGCAGAGAGTCAGCGGTATTTATGGGCTTCAACAAAGGACGCTGGAGCAGATGGTACGGAGGATACCAGACCAATCTACATGGGCAGAGAGGGACAATCAGCTCCAATTGCGGAAATGCCAGCCTTCAGCTTAACCCGTCGCAAGACTCGCAACTCGCGCCGGAGTCGCACGGAGTGCCAGTCGGGAAGTCGACGTGCTTCGCCATCGCTGTCCCACTTTCTTGATAATGGAAAACAAGAGGCAGTCGCACTGCCAAAAGGGAACGAGATAGGCAGATAAGAGCGAAAGAGGGGCAAACGGACGGGCGCGTGGTGACGAGACCGGCGAGAAGGCGCATCGTCACGGTCCGAGTCGCACATCTTGTCACATATCAGGCGGCGGCAGCGCAAGTGGTTGGCCTGCCCGCATTGGCGATCGGCAGCGTGCCTCTACGCCTGGGGACCTGCATGAATGAAAACGGAGAATCCGGGGCGCGTTTTGCGTCATGCTGGCTGGCTGCTGCTGTTGGTGCCACCACAAGAGCCTCTCAGGGTCGTTCAGGCGGTGCGCTTGTGGACGGGCGGTTACATGCCAGGTACCTCTAAGACTATCAATAGAAAATTCGATGCTTTTCGGATAAAACCAAAGGGCATGCTTTGGGCGCCGGCAAAGGAGGGCCCAACGTCGAGCGAAACACGGCAGACAGGATGAAAGGCAACGTGCTGGGAATCTGTTTGTTCTGTTGGTTATACAGTATGGCAAAGGCCATTGCTGTGCGTCTGCATCCTGGAGGCTATAGTTATTTGGGGATGCTGACACTCTGGTCGGCTGCGAGCTTTCGACATTCATCAAGAGAGACGGTCAGGGCACAAGTCTACACTGCGCTCAGATCCAGGCTGAAAGCCGATCCTATGCAGAGGGGGTATTGGGATCTGCTAGGCTGACCATGGGCTTCTGAAGCAACCGAGGCATTCGATGATGCCTGCACAAGGGGATCCATTACCGGGCTCTGCATACGTACGCATCCACACGGAACGCACTCGACCCCCGAATGTAGGCAGAGAACACAGCTCGCGGCATCTCTTTGGCTTAGCATCCAGATGAACAGACCAACTGCAGTAGTTAATCATCGCTCTTCACATGCATGCACCAATCCTCGATCCTGACGTTGACGGGAGCGCCGTCAAGAGCGGACACGCTTGCGCGTTCTGCGAGAGATCGCAGACAGAAAGGGCAATACGACGGGCGCCGGATTAGGCCATTGAGCACGTAAGTGGTTTAGCTGGCCACTCTTCAATAGAGCCACCGGGTAACAAAAAGTCCGGAAATGACAACGCATTGGACGGCGGGTGGGTTTTTTTTCTCTCGAGGGATTGTGGCTAATGCGCTAACTAGGCACTGCCCTTGGCCTCCCCCCGGGCTCAGGATAGGGCTGAACTCTGTGAACTCTACACGTTTTCCAGCGTCAAATCCTTCCCACAGCTTTACGAATACGTTGGGCCGGCACGGCGTTGTCGTGGCATTGCCAATAATAATAGACCCGGATACGAGGAAGCAGCGTTACGGAGTAGTGTGGACCAGTATTGTGACAGGTTAGCCGGGTGAGGCATCTTTGGCTACTGCCTGCCATTGAGACCTGCATGAGAGCGACGAGCCGAGATGCGAGGAAATCCGTTACCAGGTCTTGCATGATTTGAACGACAGAAAAGATACACGTGAACATGAATTCGGGAAAAATGTTTAAGGGCCATGAATAGAACTTGCGCATGGTGCCTATCAAAAATATTCGACGCTTGATTTTCTTTTTGCAGGAGAAATGACTGCCTAAAATTTGGACAGTATTGATATCAATTAAGCCTACCGCAAAAGAATAATGGCAAAAGGCAAGCATGGGCGAGCAGAGTATTATGTTTGCTCTCACCCCGAGATATTGACTCCCCGTACAAAAATGCGCGAGCAACTTGCTTATTTGTTGTTGGACAGCAGTCAACATGCTGTTTGTTTGCTACCAGAATAGAAGTATATCGATGTAACGAGAGGGGTATATTATCAATGGCTCAATTGCCCCGTTAACACCCTTTTTGTATTTTCTTCCGCCTCTTTTCTTGTATCTTCGTGGAGCATCTGAACCATGGCTTCATATTCCGTATGGGTCTGTTTCCTCCTCCAAGTTCTGTCTGCCCGATCTTCATCACAGAGTCTGCTTGATTCTCAGCCTCCGGTTGACGGCCGTAGCCCTAACTCGGAACGACTGTTGATAAGAGATTCGACTTGCAATAATCCGGCCTTCGTTGGGTATTACTGCCCGACTCCATCTACCTGTTATTATGATAAAAACGGTGTGCCGCGATGTTGTCCAGCCGGTCAAGATTGCGGGCAATACAATAAAGACGAGAAGAGGCCACCGTTTCCTGGGCCCTCGACACCGGTGCCAACACCGCCATGTCAGACGCCCAGAAACAGCGTAAATTGTGAGCCCGGCTACTATCCCACTTGTAACAATATGAATGGATGGTCTTCACACGGATCGAGATCGCATTGCAAGTCTTCTTTAGTGTTGTTGGGATTGACAATACTGGTGTGGCACTGAGCTTTATGATGCTCTTACGCCATTGCAGGGAATCACGGCTACCTCCGCAACGGAAATGTTTGATAGGCGCATCGCTTCTTTTCATCCCATTAATACATATCTGTTTAGACTTCCATCATTCTCTTCTTGGGGTTTCTCGGAAGTTCTTCTTGTCGTTTCCTTTCTTCAGGAGAAATATCATCCACATTCGTCTCTTCTTCTCTTGGTTCGTGGCCTGCTTTTGCAACTTCCAGGATCTGCTCTTCCATCCCCTCTACAAGCTCCCACCCAACGCCCGCCGCATCTAGCATTTTACAGCCCTGAGACTCTCCGACAAACGTCCCTGGCTCCTTAACTCCAAAATAGATCCTGTCGATGCCCGCAAGGCCGTCTTTTCGTGTCTCAACGATTCTCACAGCGCACGGCTTGTTGCCCGATAGCCTATGACCACACGGCTCCATGGTGACATACATAACGATTTTCGCATTGGAGTCATTCCCGCGCTCCTGCTGCAGTGCTTCACCGATATTGTCCTCCGAGATGTCGTGGCGAGAAGCGTATTTGGACAGACAACATTGCTCGGCGTGGGTGTTGCCGGGAAGTTCGAGCGTGTAGCCGGTGGAAAGAACTTTATCTTCAGATCTGGTCAGTTGATCGGGCGTATCTGTGTCTGCTGAAGAATAACGCCTGAGAAGAAGTATGGCGCCAACGCGGAAATTAGTTGGCTTGGGAGGGGAGTATGCGGCGAGGGCGACGCATTGTGATAGGTAGTGTAGGTGGGTGGGGAGTTGGCTGATGGGCTGGGCTTCAGGGTGGACCATTGAGGCAGCAATAGGAAACAATTACTAGATATGCCAGTGTTTATGGGCCAGAAGTACTCCGTCTCGCCTCCAGTCTCTGCATGTTATGAAGTTGAAGTTGAAGAACGTAGAATGACGTAAGAAGAGAAGGGCACCGGGCCTAAGATGATCCGGGCCGGCGTCGCGTCCAGGCGCGTCGACTTAATTGAACCAGCCGCGAGGAATCAAACAGCTGATATTGGGCTTGCTAGGCTGGAGATACAGTAAATATTTTCTCTTCGTACTCTTCAAGAATACAAAGCTAGTGTCAACAATGAGCAAAATGCCTGCTGGGGAGGACGACCTTGTTGCCGACCCTCCATCGGCCATCAACCCATACGAAGTCTTAGGGATTGATGAGAAAGCAACAGCAGATCAGGTCAAGTCCGCGTACAGAAAGCAGGCCCTGAAACACCATCCAGGTATGTGCCTGCCCTCCATACTCAGCTTTACTCTCTCTCTCACACTAGTTACTGTTAGACAAGGCGGGCCCAGACTCGAAAGATGAAGCGCACAAGAAGTTTCAGGAGATTGCATTCGCATACGCTATTCTTTCTGATGAACGTCGACGAAAACGATACGACACTACCGGCAACACGTCAGAGTCCTTAGACCTCGAGGATGACGACTTCAGCTGGGTGGATTTCTTCCGCGAACAGCTTTCTAGCATGGTCGATGGAGCGGTCATTGAGAAGCTGAAAACTGAGTACCAAGGGTCGCAAGAGGAAAGGGAGGATTTACTTGAAGCCTACGAGAATTTTGAGGGGGACTTAGATCGGGTGTATGAAGAGGTGATGCTCAGCAACGTGCTTGAGGACGACAAGCGGTTTCGCAAGATTATCAAGCAGGCGATTCGCGACGGCGAAGTCCAAGATTGGCCCAAGTTCTCGGAGGAGTCCGCAGCCCGGCGCAACCGAAGAGTCAAAGCAGCAAAACAGGAGGCAGAAGAGGCGAAGGAGCTGGCAAAAGAGCTGGGGGTGGAAGACAAACTATTTGGCAAGCAGGACACGAAGCGGACGAACCAGGGCAACGCGGACGAGGATGATGACAGCGCGCTGCAAGCGCTGATCCAGCAGCGCCAGAAGAGCCGGGGCGCCACCTTCCTGGCCAACCTCGAGGCGAAATACGGGGGCGCGTCGCGAGGGGGGAAGGGCCAGAAGAGGGCGGCGGCGGACGCGAACGAGCCGCCCGAGGAGGCGTTCCGGGCGAATCGGGCGCGGACAGCGACGAAAAAGAAGCAAAAAGCCGGTTGACGAGGGATGCTGGGCGTGCAGGCGGATCGTTTCTTGTATGTGATTCTGGCGGACTCATGGTTTGATATGGCCGGCGCATTGGTGGAATGGGCTGCAGGGGATGCTCCCGGGCTCTGCAGCAGGCAATGCAGCCCTTGCGAGCAGCCGCTCTCGATTCGCCGTATTCCCCGTAGCCAGCATGCAGTCCGCATGTGCGTAGCGTAGCGTAGCCAGTCAGTCAGTCAGTCCGTCCCCGGCCGCCTCGCGCATGCTGGGCCCGTCCGTAGTTAACCACGACGCCCGCGACGCTGATTCGAGCGCGCCAGCGCCATCGCGGCGGTGTCGTCGCCTGGCCTGCCACGGCCTCACAGGCGGCCGGCGATGGCCCATCAAGCCTTCTCCCATCCCTCGATGCCGCTGCTTGGCCTGCCTTGGCCGGCGAGTCGTCTGGTTCTCGCCGAGCCCCTAGGCGTGCGCGGGTGCTTCAGCCACATCCCCTCCTCGCTGAGCGTTTTCGATCGCCGACGTGATATCTGCCTGCACCACCACTCCCTCTCGCACTCCCACGGCCGACCCTGCTGCTCTCGCCTGCCACTCACCGCTGCTGCCCGCGTTGTCGCTGCTACTGCTGCTACTGCTGCTGCCCGGCCCTGCTTGCTCTGGCGTGTCTGGCGCTCAGGCTCCCACCCCGGCTGAGCAATCCCATCCAGCGGCTCCCGCTCGCTTGCCATCACACGACTGGCCTGCGAGCTCACCACCACCTCGCATGCCGTGCCTGTGTGCGAGCTGACCGGACAATCCCAGTGAGTCACTGTTTGCGACGCCTATGCCCTTTGTCAGACGCTGATCGCCCTGCTGGCTGCCGCGCCGCGCTGCCCCCAGACCCTGCCGTGCCTGTCCTACGCCCGCGTGCCGGCCCAGAAGCCAACCGCCCCGTCGATAGTTAGTCTGGCGGTACATCAAAGGCTTCTGGCCTGGAACAGCTGAAAGAGAGAGCGAGCGAGCCAGAGAGAGGTTGCCTGCGCCGTCTCGCCCACGCACTCCGCCCCCGTTGCCACCACGCTGCCGTCAAAACTCGTCGGTATATAACCTCGTCCCCGCCACCGTCTCTCGCCCGCTCCGCCCCTCTCCGCCGGCGACACGATGGCACAACCGCCGCAGATGTCGCTGGAGGCGGCGCTGGACGAAGAACGGCGCGAAATCCTGGACATCCTGGAGGGCAAGACGCAGAGCCCGCCCTCGCAGCGCCCCGCCCGCCATGTGAGCCCCGCGCCGCCTGTCCGTAGCATGCTGGACATCGCTCCCGAACCAGCACCGCAGCGCCATGGCTCCGTCGCCGGCCTGGGCGCAGGTGTAACCCAGCCGCCCTCCCGCGCGACGGCCAAGTCCAGCGCCGGCGTGCGCAGCATGCTCGAGCCCATTGCGCCCTCGCCGCTGCGCTTGACCCAGAGCGCGACCTCCTCGCCCACCACGGACTCCGCGCCCGCCCACGAGCCGCCGCCCGACGGCCTCCGTCGCGCCTCCGATTCCTCGTCCAAGGGCCTTCCCGAGGTGAAACGCCGCCAGGGCGTGGATCCCCAGCAGGACTACCAGTTCGAGATGCTGCCCAGCATTCCCAGCGCCTTGCCCAAGCGAGTGACCCAAGGTGGAAAGCTGAGCCATCATAACACCGCGCTCCATACGAATTCAATGGCCTCTGTGATGTCTGGTGGAGATATCGGACTACTTCCGGGTTTCCCAAGAGGCAGGCAGATCGGAAGACACCAGCCCATTCCCGGAAGATCCAAATCCCCTTGTTCACGACCTGCGCGCTCACAGTCACCGGGGTTGAACTCCAACTCCATGAATCTAATGAGTACTCCAGGGAAATTTGTGACTGATTCTGGGAAAGTGATAAATATGGACCATGCTTACAGGCGGCTATCGAATGCTGCGATTATGAGATCTGGCGGACTGTTGGCTAATTACCCTGGAAATTCACCACATAAACAGGGTGATGGCGTTGATGGAGCAGCTGATGGAGACGCTAGGCTTCAGAAAGATTATTACTCTGATACGCCAGAGGGCGGTTTCAGCGAGGATGGTACAAGTGACGACGTTGAAGATACTAGCTCGGGAGAAGATTCGTGGAAGTCAGAAATCCATCGCGGACGAAGACGGATTAGAAAAAAAATTGCAGATATAGATGGAGCTGGCAGCACCAAAGGAGAAACCAAGAAAGTTCAGAGCCTGCTCGCTGCTGCGGAAGAAGAACGTACGCTGAGAAATTCCCTTACTTTTATATCTATATGCTGATCTGTTTTAGGTGCAAAAATATCCTCTACTTACAAAGTCAAGTCCTTACTCGATCCTGTCGGGCCTCGCACGGCGAAAGCAACTGCGGAGAAACTGATGAACAACAGAAAGACTGGCATTCATCCGAATACTAGCTTTGATCTGACCGCATCTACCAGCAATACTCCAGTCGGCTCTGAAGACGAGGCTGAGTTTTCAGATATCAAAAAGGCGCAGAATCTTAGCATTTACATGTCCGCTGTGGACCAGACGGTGCCTAACAGGGTGATTCGCACGATAATCCGTGGCGATTTCAACAGAACCCAAGAAGAGGGAGACCATGGCCATCGGCGGCTACGGAAGTATCTGGTTGCAACCGATCTAAGTGAAGAGTCAACCTACGCGCTTGAATGGACCATCGGCACTATCCTCCGCGATGGAGACACAATGTACGCTGTCTACGCAGTCGAAGAAGAGTCGAGCTCTGGCAAATCTTCTGGAGATACGGACAGCATCAGTTCGGTGAATATCAACGACGGGGCAAAAGCGATGCTGGACATTACGACGACCGTAGGTGCGCAGACGGAAAAAACGCTAGGAGATTCCAACCGGGCATCTGCCCACCCGTCGCCGCAAGGGTCTGCCGTTCATCTGATGTCGGATAGCAAGAGCGGCTCCATTGATTCGCGCGCGACAACGAAAATCGAGGCAGAGAGACTCCGTGCTATAGAATTACTATCTCAAACAGTTGTGAGGTTACTACGCAAGACGAGGCTGCAGGTTCGAGTTGCAATCGAAATAATCCATTGCAAGAGCCCCAAGCATCTGATTACGGAAGCTGTAAGTAGACTTCAGCTCTTTCTCTGTACTGCTTGGACCAGATCTAACCAATACTTACTGGTATTACAGATCGACACTCTTGAGCCCACACTGGTAGTACTAGGCTCTCGAGGACGAAGCGCTCTCAAAGGGTAAGTATCATGCCTGTGCCACCCACGAGTGTAGGAAGTATTTTGTTAACTTTTTGTTCTGTTACAGCGTCCTACTTGGCTCGTTCTCCAACTACATAGTGACCAAGTCCTCCGTGCCGGTGATGGTTGCTCGTAAGAAATTACGCAAGCACTCAAAGCTGAAGAACACGCGTGTTCGACTGACAAACAATCTAACCACTCCGAGAAAACTTGCTTTTGCGAAAATTGATTAATCTTTGGCGTTCAGGGGTTCTGGCGTGCGAAAAATGTCTCCCCGACATAATACTCTTAGGGTGCTGAGACTGATGACTCTGCTCTATTCCCCAGATGTTAACTAACTAGGTGATTCGGGTTGCATATTTACTTTTCTTGCTTCTTAATCTTTTTTTCTCTCCTTTCACCTCTACTCTTATTACCACTGGCATTGTTTGTGAGCGCTGTTATGAAGTATGGATAATCGCGGACGATGAGAACGGGCGCAAGGCGCATATGGACCCCCTTATGGGCGTTTGTGAATCACGACGACGGCGTCTTTTGGCTCTGTGGCGTCTTCGGCTGTAGGTAGTTATCCGTATCCAATGGGCCATCAGCCATGCGTGCTCCCACTTGCTTCTGGCACTCTTATCTTCACCGGCTTTTCCTTCACTCGCCACGCGTGTGACCCTCGTGTACTGTATGCCTAGCGTGTGTGCCTTTGTCATGCATGTCGCCGCCTCACTGGATAGAGCAATGGCTTCAAACTAGCGGAAAAGCCCTGGCGTGCCGGACGGAAGTCGGATCCAGCGCGCCTGATCAAGCCCACCACGGCTTTCCAGAACAACGCCTGCCGTCGATGGCGTGGAAATTCACGAACATTAGCACAGAATCTACTCCCGAATGAAGCCACTCCCAGCTGCAGCGATTCCGGGGACTCTCACCGGCCGGGGACGCGCCCCTGTTCGGCAAGCCAGCAATGGCGCGTCTCCATTCGCTCCCTCGATCGACACAAAAATGCGACGCACGCCCGCCGTGCATCCCAACATGTTTCGAGCAGCCGTGATTGGGTCGTCGGGCAGCCGGTGGCAGGTCGGCGAGAGACATGATGTGCTCTGCTTGCTCGTGGCTGCTTTTGCGAATGCCCGTCAATCAGATTGTTCAAAGAAACGGAGGAGCTGCCGGCGCGCGCGCGCGCGGAGAGGGCCACAGCGATCGGAGACGTCTGATCAATCCTTCCCTCCATACAGTAGTTAACTCGTTAGTCACCGAGCCTGCGCTCCCACGACGTGGCTGCTGCGGCGTCTGGTTCCTTTCTTCTATTGACAGAGGACGCTATCGGTTTATTGAGCACTGTTTGCAGTTAGGATGGCTTGGAGACGCAGTTGAGCGTGTCGCTGGCAGCTTTATATGCTTTGCGCTGCCCCTCACGGATCTGCGTTGATTTTTTTTTCCAGCCCTGCGAATAGCAAGGAAGAACCTGCGGCCAAAAGTAATTGATATCCGCTTTTGGCATTCTGTGTGTTGAGCATTGCGAGAGGGGGGATATAAAATGAAGGTAAGCCGCTGGGTCCCCTGATACGTGCATAGGAAGTTAACAGTGCTATCTGGCTCAAGACACCATGGATCTACGCTGTCAGCGTGGTCTTCGCTATTCTCTTCACCTTATGTCTTTCTGTTGAAGCAACACTCGCGTCTGGTGAGCAAACCGTGATCCAGTCGCCCATCCACCAGGGCGTCACTCTTTCATACAAAAGACTGCCTGCTGGGATTTGTTCGACTGGATCTCCCACTCAACATCAATACTCCGGCTATGTCTCTCTCCCGCCTTTCACACTGCATCCAGTGCAGCAGAACAATACTATCAACACATTCTTCTGGTTCGTCGAAGCTAGAGACAACGTCAGGTCTGCACCCCTAACCGTATATCTAAATGGAGGGCCGGGAATTAGTAGTATGCAAGGGTTATTCCAGGAAACTGGCCCTTGTGAAGTTATAGACCGGCCTGGGAGCAGGCTTCGCACCGTCCACCGGGAATGGGGCTGGGATCGAAGCTCCAGCATGCTCTATATCGACCAGCCGGTGCAATCTGGCTTCTCATATGATGCTTCTCGTGAAGGATCGTTGGATTTCTTAACTTCAACATATACCTACCCGCCCACAGCCCCTCCTACGGGCCAGTCTCCTGAAACCTTCCGCAAAGGAGTCTTCAGCTCAAATGATGGGGCTACCACCGTGAATACATCTGCGACCGCAGCGAAAGCCATTTGGCACATGCTCCAGGTGTTTTTGACTACGTTTCCAAGCCTGAAATTTAATTCTGAATCCGCAGATATCAATCTATTTACAGAAAGCTACGGGGGAAAATATGGACCTGCGATTGTGTCTCATTTCCAAAAGCAGAATGAGAGACGACGGAAAGGCGAGATCCCTAGGTGGAAGTCGGTGGAGATCAAAACCAAAACTTTGGGGATAATGCAAGGGTGCATCGACGACTTAGTTCAGAACCCATACTACCCAATCTTTGCATATAATAATACATATGGACTACGAGCCCTGTCATCTAACGATGTGACAGCATTCCACAAAAAGTTTTATCAGCCCGGTGGCTGTAAGGACCAGGTGGAAGCTTGCAGAGCATCCGTTCGATCCCTTGACCCTGATAACTTGGGCAATGTGGACAGGGTCAACGCAGCTTGTTTCCAAGCGACAGTTACATGCAATACCGATGTGGTTCAAATATACCCCAAAATAGGACGAAGCTCCTTCGATATAGCTCAAAGCGTATTCAATCCGCTTCCTCCTTCAACATATATCGAGTATCTTAATACCCCGGAGGTTCAGCAGGCAGTTGGCTCGCCGTTAAATTTTACAGAGTCTAGCAACACAGTGTTAAACGCTTTCATTCAGGCCGGTGATCATGTTCGAGGTGACTATCTTTCCGACCTTGCCTTGCTGCTTGATAAGGGCGTACGTATTGCGCTCATATACGGCGACCAGGACTTCATCTGCAATTGGTTCGGAGGCCAGGCAGCATCTTTTGCCATTGCCGCAAGGTCGAAGTCTCCCTTGTCCTACCTCTCTAACTTCAACGCCGCGGGTTATGCTCCCATAGCCGTGAACAATAACTATACGGGTGGTGTTGTTCGACAGTTTGGGAATCTACTCTTCGCGCGTATCTACGACGCAGGTCACTTTATTCCGTACTATCAGCCGGAGACTATGTTCAAATTGTTTGATCGCATCATACAGGGGAAGAATCCGTCGACAGGAAGTGTGATTCCTAACCCTTCCCGGTTCCGAACCCAGGGCGATGCAAATTCCACCACAACCAATTCTCTTCCCCCACAGGCGAAACCGACTTGCTATTTACGCAAAGCGCCGGATACTTGCAGCTCGGAGCAAATTGACAAGATGAAGGTAGGGCAGGGGAAGATAATTAACGGAATATGGTATGAAAAATAAGCGGACATGCGCCAAAGCTACATGCAACGTCATGGCATACATATTACTGGCATTTGGTTGGCGTGTGAGTCCATCTATACTTCTTCGAGATCATTTGACAATGCTTTAAATATATTAGACTTGTAGAGTGCTCGAGACGATGCCTGTTGATCTGATAGTTGATATAGATTCTCGCTTGTAATGTGTAATATCAGAGCTTTAAACTGCGAGGAATCGTAGCTCTTCTACATTCTGAAGCTGACTTATATTTAAAGAAACCGAATAATGACTGGCGCATAATATTATACACTGTTCTAGTACTGAATACCTGATTCGCAAAATATCCCCTGAATCTTGGACGGCCATTGCTTATACGATATAGTTACCCCGTATAGCTGTAGGATTATTGATATTCCGAGTGAGTCAGACCCCTCCGCGCCCTATCAAATGCCCCTCATCAAGATATATCTGGCCGTATCTGCTTGTAATTATTACTGCTTACCGTGCCCTAAGGGTCTGCTAGGCCAATACGTTGCTTTATCATGGCCGATCCTGTGTCCGAGACGACACTCCCTATTCGTGACGCAGAAAAGCACGGCGCTACCGAGCAAGAAATCAACCCGTGGGGCGTACAAGCCGCACACGATGAGCAGGGAAACGTCCTTGCCTTCGACTATGTCGCAATTTCACAGTTCGTCTCAGCCCTGCCGTAGATAGAGAGGCCAATTGTTAATGGGAGTAGGAAATGGGCAACAAAGCTTATAGACAATGAGCTTCTCGAGCGTTTTGAACGACTTACGGGCCATAAGCCGCACCGCTGGTTAAGACGAGGACTGTTTTTCTCACATCGAGACTTCGACAAGATACTTGATAAGTATGAGCATGGCGAGCCATTTTTTATGTATACGGGAAGAGGTCCATCTAGCGATGCGCTGCATCTCGGCCATACAATCCCATTCTCTTTTACAAAGTGGTTGCAGGATGTATTTGATGTTCCATTAGGTATATTATGGCTCTCTTTTGACATAGTGCTTTAATGGATCTCACTAATGTATGCGATAGTTATTATGCTTACGGGTAAGCGCCCCATCTCTCCGAGAGCTACTTTCTAAATTAACAGGGGGAACAAAGATGATGAAAAAGCTCTCTTCAAGGATAACCTGACATTTGAGGAGACATATAAATTCGGATTACAAAATGCAAGGGATATTATTGCTTGTGGCTTTGACCTGAAAAAGACGTTTATTTATAGCGATTTGGATTATATCAAAGGCCACATGTTGATGAACGTGTGGGAGTTTTCGAAGCTTGTTACCTTCAACCAAGTGCGGGGAGCCTTTGGATTCAACGAGAGGTATGAAGCTCCCTTTTTATTTGCCTGTTATCTACTAACTCCCTATAGCACTAACATTGGACGAATTTTGTTTCCGGCTGTGCAGTGGTAAGCCAACATTCTATCAATCGGATAATCCCGCTAGCTAAAACCCTTTCCAGTGTAGCATCCTTCGCCACATCATATCCAGAAATCTGGTCCGACAACCCACCAGCAGATCGGACAAAAGAAATAGCAAAAATCCCGTGTCTTGTTCCTATGGCCATTGATCAAGATCCATATTTCCGACTTGTGCGAGACAATGCCCACCGCATGCGATATCCATCGCCCAAGCCAGCACTAATACATTCCAAATTCCTTACAGCACTCCAAGGTGCTGGTGGTAAAATGAGTGCAAGTGATCCAAAGTACGTCCATTCAATTCGCTATGGCTGAATCAGTCTTGCTTATAGCCTCTAGTTCTGCAATTTTTATGACCGATACGCCAAATCAAATCAAGGCAAGTTTTACCCGTTCGAAGCGTCGCAGGGTCTTCTAATTTAAATTTTAGAACAAAATCAATAGACATGCTTTTAGCGGAGGAAGGGACACTATAGAGGAACATCGACTACTCGGGGGCAACCCAGACGTTGATGTATCTTTCCAATGTAAGTTTTACCGTTGAACGCCAACAGCATAGCTAGCCCCGCTCAATTTGCAATAGATCTCTCCTATTTCGAAGACGATGACGAGAAACTCAAAAATATAGAAGAAAGCTACAGGAAAGGTGAGCTGCTGACAGGAGAACTGAAGAAGCTTGCCATCACATTATTACAAGGATACGTGAAAGATTTCCAAGAACGGAGAAAAGAGGTCACCGACGATATCCTAAAGCAGTTTATGACACCTCGCAAGCTGGAGTGGAGAGGAAATCCAAACCCAGTACCAAGGCCGCCGAAGGCAAAGGAAGTGAAAGGGAAACCCGCTAAATAAGCCTAACACAAAGTATTGAGTAGTTGATAGCAGACAGTACTCTGTAGCGTACTCAATATTATTCTCACAGCCGCAATTACATTACGTCGGCACTGCACCGTGCCTGAGGGGCAGTTGGGGGCTGCGGGTACAATTGCTTACAACTTGTGCAAACAAAGAAGGCTATCTGAGCCCTGAAGTGGCCCCCAAATACGAAGCGGGGGATGCCTAATCGCCCGTGGCTCCAGGCGGGCTGAAGCCGACAGTAGTTAGGCAGCAGCGGAGTGCAAATGGAACAAACATGGTGCCTCACCAAAACATCATCATCACGGCATCTCAAGGCTAGCATAAGAACAACGATGTAGATACATGCGCGCAAGCTACAATGTCGCGTCTATGGCAGCTAAAAGTGCATGCCCCACGGGCGATTACTACCCTTCATACTGCCATAAAGCTGCGCCCACGCATTCCACCTGGGTGAAACTAGGTATTGACGATGTCCGCTGCTTGAAGCAGCCGCGGGAGTTCCAAGGTCCGTATGAGAACTATTCTAAGCCTTTTCTTTTTATGGCGATAACTGGAGATCTTATATATATAAGAAGCGTCTTTGCCATTTACCAGCTAACTGTATCCCGGTTGGGCAGGGCATCGGACTTATTTCTACAACAACCACCCCATTGAATTCATCTGCCTCGCAGGCATAATCGTTTCGCGCGATGAGCAGACCTTGCGCACCATCCTAGTTCTCGACGATAGCACTGGCTACACCATAGAAATCGTCTGCTCCAAAGCGGCTCCCCAGAACCCCTTCATACCTACAACAGCAACAGCAGAGGCACCCACCACCACCACCACCCCCGCTACCCATCTTAGAGCTGCCACCAAGGCCCCTATCGACATCTCCTCCCTCTTCCCCGGCGTCACCTCCAAACTCCAAGGCACCATCACCCGCTTCCGTGGCGCCCTCCAGCTCCATCTCGAGCGCTACACCCTCCTGCGCAACACCAACGAAGAAATGCACTTCTGGGACCAGAAGAATCGGTTTTTTGTGCAAGTGCTGTCTGTACCGTGGATGCTGACGGCTGAGGAGAAGGAGGCGTTGCGCGTGGAGGAAGTGAGGCGGGAAAAGTGGAAGAGGTGCAAGAGAGAGGTGCTGGAGAAACGGGAGCAATTGCGGGCTGAAAAAGAGGAGAGGGATCGGAAGAGGATTGAGAGGAGCTATGAGAAGAGATACGAAAGGGCGAAGTATGCGAAGAGGTGTCTGGAGGAGGCCCGGTCGTTGAGTCGTAGAACGAAGGACCGGTGATTTACCTGTTCCATTACCTCTTGCATGAGATGGAACATCATTTTGATAGAATATAAATGAAATATAAAACGGCAGCATGGTATTGTGGTAGCCAAAACTATTTCCAAGCTTCAAGGCACAAATCAAATCCATCATGAAAAAGTCGCATCTCGTTGTTAAGGCCGTTCATAACCAAAAATTAGAGACAAACATCAATATCATCGTTATTGTCATGAGAACTAAACCAAAAAAAAAAAAAAAAAACAAAAAAAAAATACAAATAACAATTGCCGCATAGGCTTTTTTTCATAACATCGTTCAGCGAACACTATATATCCATCAGGTTCGGGTATCACTGCCTCAACGCCCTGCGTTTTATTGGCTTACTTCACCCACATATCCCTTGTGCCATGTTCTTCCTTTTGCGGACATTCTCTCTCATTAACGAAAGGGCCAGTCAGCCGATTCATCATAAGCTGGGCTACGTCGACCAGCCTTTGCTGCAACGGGGCTTGGTGGTCGGTAATAATCTTCCTCGTCTTCCCAGTTTACGTATGCTTGCTGGTTGCTATGCTTTTCCCTTCCAAATTCAGGGACACGTTCTGGTTTGGTCTCTTTCTCCCGTGGCTGATCGCGATATCGGGGTGTAGTATCCTCGCGGGGCCTAGCTGAGGTGGGTGTCTTCACAAAGGGATACTCAGATCCACTAAAGTCCTTTGAATCATGTTTGGACCTCATGATAGGACTTTGACGGCCGCCACGTGCACCCTCCCGTTGCTTGACCTGCTCAATGGGAGCGTTCGTGTTTAATTTCTGATTTGGGATTTGTACAGAATATGGCTTCCTTTCTCGTTCAATAGGTTGAGCCGGGGCAACATCATCCTCGACTTCGTCTTCTTCTATTTCAAAGGGAGAACTCAACCGTGGATCAGAGCTTGGTAACGGGGCGCCAAGTGGAGGAGAGCCACGACGATGACGAGGAATGTCATATTGTGCATCGTCTCTCATGACATATCTTGAAGGGCTGACACGGCAATGGGTGAGAATGCAATGGTCCATATGTCCTCTTGCATTATGATCGGGGAATTTTGGGAATAAACGTCTAGGAAGATCTTTGGGAAATCGTTCCTTAGGATCATCAGGATTACTTATCGGCATCTCAAGCAAGGTCCTCTGAAGTCGCTCGCATTCTTGGTCTGGATAAGCGACGACCATAAGTCTCATCCAGCGTTCGAATCCGCCAGGTGTGAGGCCCGGAATATCGGGCCTTTCATCGGTGCGGTCTTGAATCAAATGATGTTCGGCTTGAACTTCTCTATAAAGACGAGAGATTGAGGATGTTCTATCGTCAAATACATCTAGGATAAAGTTTAGCTTTGGAAGTATCAGAAGAAACATGATGCATACCATTCCATGCATACGGACCACCTGGTGATTTGGTGTCTTCATAGTATTTCTGCATTTTCTGGGGTGTAACAACTAAGGTGTTGCCAGGAGCATACGATTGAATCTATCGACTGTAAGCTTCCGCACATATGCATATACTTCAGTCAAGGCGAAATACCAAGTGCATGGCAACCCCGCGCACGAGCTGCCCAAATCGCGAAGTGGGCACGCCATCTCTATCAAACAGCTGTCCCCAGGTCTTCTCGACAGGAGTTTCGTCTTGTGTAGAAAGACGCGACGGCTTAGGCCGGTTGGTACCTGGTCTGTCGAAAGGGGACTGAGACTCGTCGTCATCATGTTCCACTGGAGGGGCCTGGGCAAAATTGTGTGGAATCTGGGCGAATTGCACATTTGAGAACTGGGGGGACTGAAACGAGCCTTCCGGTCCTCTAAACGGCGAAGGCGGCGTGTAGACTTGAGTGGTGGACGGGTGAGAGAACTCTGAAACGGACGGAGTGAACGGTGCCAAGCTGGTATTGTGGGCAGGATGGTTTGGGGCAGGGGCGGCAGAATTGCCAGCGAAGTTCAGGCCCTGTAGCTGCTGCACCACGCTGGCGGTAATCTGCGCGATGACTTCGGGGGGCACATCAATCTTCTGCTGGAACGGAGGCGGGTCCCTTTGGGGGGTGTGCTGGTTCTGATAGAACCGCATTGGATCGGTCAACGGGTCGGCGAGATCAGTGGTGGGTGGAGGAGGGATGGGGGCAGGTGGCGGCGGTTGGCATTGTGGACTTGGAGACGGGTGCTGGGGTGGGAAACGGCTGCCATCTGACGTGGCACTGCAGCTGTCGGGGAAGGGAGGCGGCCCAGAGGCGCGAAAGGGCTGTGGGCTGGCATAGGTGTTGGGGGTGGTGAAGCCGCCCTTGTCATAGGGCTGAGAGGAGCGAAAACCCTCGTAAGCCATGGCGACAGGAGGCAGGATGCAGAACTGGCTGGTTGGAACGCCAGCGGTCTAGATGTAAGCCGTGGATGGACGAAGAGGCACGGGCAGCAGATGGATGGCGGTGGTGGACGAGGAGGAGGTGTTGCGGTGAAGCGGAGGTGAGGCCGCGAGGTCAGCGCGGCTCTGAGAGGTGGGGTCAATCAGGCTGGAATCTGCCCAGATCAGGTGCCGCGACCGCCACACTGCGCGACCGAGCTGCTGCGGCGTCGCTACTAGCTGCTAACTTCGGAGTATACGAGCAGCTAAACTACACACAACAACCGCACGCCAGCCACCTTACTCTGTCCCTGGAACCGGTCCGTGGCCTCCACTTGCGGACCAGCCCTGAGCTTGCCAGCCGTGATGGACCCAAAACCTGGCACAAAGATACTCCCGCACCCCCTCGCATGAAACGTCGCAGAACGGGTGTTGCTTCGTAATCTAGAGCTAGTCCTGTATGTGCTTCTACCACAATGACGTTCCCGGGCGGAGAATTGCTCACCGTGACTACATGGAGTCATGTCCGACAGCGATCGAGGCAACGCGGTCTTCGAGTTGCCACTGCTGCATCCTGCTGGCTGTTTACGGCAGCGCGCGAGTGGGCCGCGAAATGAGGGCCGTTGGAAGGCCGACGGGTGAGAGATGATCGGCCTACGAGGCGGGATAATGATGTAATAACTGCCTACAGGAGTCAACAATGGATCTTCGAGGGAGGACGGTCGGCCAATCCAGGGCCGATAACATGTGGTTGAGTGAAAGCCGGCTGATGAGCTCACCAGGGTTCCCAGCAGTGGTGGGAGCAAGCATGCCCTTTCCCCTGGCTATTTACAGAGTGTTGGATTGAGGAAGGCCTTGCGTTAAAGTTACGGCTGACGGGAGGGACATTATTAGGCTTCCAAATTTCCTGGTTGCATCTGCCTTCCCCACAAGTATATTCGGCTACAGTTTGTTCATATAAAATTTCTTCCAGCGCTCTGCCCCCCGGATAGACAAAGAAGTGGCCGATAAATTAGTATCTGCTTGAGACAAGAGTATGTACGATAGGATCGGGCTTGGTGTTTCATGATTATCAAATTCGTTTCTCCTGTATGCACGGAGTACGGCGAATTTTCTCCGAATAATCTTATACCAGCGCTAGTAAGAAAAAAAAACCCATGCCCTTTACCCCCTGTTTGTATGTCGAGTACAAGGAGCGTATCAACTTGTATGTGCTCCGTATGAATCCTCTTAGCAAGTTTTTCCATGCTCGATTCAAATCCAGTTCTCGACATCTTCTTCGGAGTCTTCGGAGTCAGACTCGACCGTCCTACCGGTTGGTTCTGGCAAACACAAACTGGGAGCTAGTTCCTTGGGAAGGCGAAAGCCCTACGGAGTACGCGCTGTTCAGTCCATTTCCGTACTACTTATTACTGCACAAGAAAAATTCAAAAAGGGAGTAGATAGGCTTAAACTCACATTAACTTTAGCAAATTTTGCGTTTTTGTCGGAATACACATCCTGTGCCTGACTGGGGGTGCGAGTACGCGTCGACGGCTCGCCACTATTCTTCCACAAATCCCAACCACTCGGTGCAGCTGTAGCTCCTTCAGAAGGGGTTGAGATGGTGCAGAAATGTGCCTTTCCGTTGGCATCAATTGTTGGAAATGGGAGACCTGGACGCAATCTACTGTCGATAACTGGTCCCTGTTCAAGCCAGACACCACCATCCAACAGGCCTTCATTTTCATCCTGGCCATCATCTCTTCCCTTGCCTTTGGCAGAGGTTTTATAAGATAGCATGGCTGTGCGGTCAGACGTGACTCCATATTTTGATGCAGCGGGAGTATTGTCGTCAGTTCCGACCGTGAGAGCACGGAATGAATTGGCCGCGAGGGCATCGCCCTGGATTCATTTGGGTTAGGTACTCGGTTGTGTGGAGGCGACAACTTGAGAACGATAGATATAGTTACCATATCAGCAAGTGCTTCTATAACGTTGTCATCATCAAGCAATAACTTGGTGTCTTCCATAATCGGTTCAGAATCCAAATGACCCTGGACACAGTTGGTGCACCTCTACCACGCGTCAGAGATGGCCATAGCTCGAACACAAACTGTTGGCCAGTGAGCCTACCGCACTGTCAGGATCACGCCGCTGATTCTTGCTAAAATATTCTAGAGTCTTGGTTTTGTCACAGACATAGCAGGTGAGTTCAACGACCTGTTGGCCGGTGCAGCTGCGGCAGGCGGCGTGTGCAGAAAGAACTCCGGCCCCATGTTTGGCGATCACTTTACGAAACTCCTCCAGCTGACGTTTCGAGAATGCCTGCTGGGGGCGAATCTTCTTGCAGACCTTGCATTTGACTCTGTAAAAGGTTAAGACTGCTGAAAAGAGGGGATAGGGGAACGGGTGCTGTCGGGATGTAACTCACTTATCTGGGAGCTCGACTTTTTTCAGCCTGTACCACAGTTAGTCGATGTTTCGGTTGCTTCCAAGGAAATATCAGTGGCCTACGCTGCCTGGTACGCCTCGAAATCGAAACCCACGCGCGGTGGCATGGTGGCTCAGAGAGTATCAAGAGTGGGATAATGATGAAAGAAAAAAAGAAAGTGAAGAGAAATAGATGCAGATGTGTGTTGAAGCAACAGCCCCGGCATGTTCCTGCTCTATTGAGCAATGCCGCGAAGGCAACGGTGCGGCACATGTTTCAGCAAACATCTGTTGCACGGTTGTATGCAGACGTGTTATCATGTCAGGCAACCTCCCACTGAAGATAGACCAGTGCAGCTCTTGAAATGAAAGGAAGCCGCTTCCTAGGCAAGGCCTCCGGAATTGACCTTGCATCGCAGAGGGGCAGCTGCAGCAGCAACAGCAACAGCAACAACGTACTGGCCCTGCAGAGGTGAAAGGTATTGCTCTTTCTTCAAGCTCACCCCCGGCTACCAGCTTCCGTGTGGACCTGGCTGATATCACCATGACTGGAGCAGATCTATATCAGAAGCCCGGAGAGTGTTCGGTGCATACATTTCCTTCACGGCTCCCCGCATCTCCCGGCCTCCGAACCATACATGAAAGGAGACACTGCACAGGCATCAAAGAAATCAAGCAGTCGCTGGCCCCCCGTTTTACAAAAAGCACGCACCCTAGCGGGCAGTGTTCCTTTTTTTTTCTTTTGACTGTTTAAAGTTTTACCTTCCTAGAATGACCAAAGCTTCTTTTCAGCGTTTTGGGCAGTCCACGAAGTGAGATTGCTGAATGCGGCGCAAACGGGACGCCAAAAGGTGCCTGGAATTGTGATCTATGCTGCGGTTGGTCCGCCAGACGGTTCGTCCCGCCTCCAGATTTCTAAGCGGTTGCCCCAATCCAGTAGGTGACAAAAAGTGGGAAAGTAAATCAACAAGCAAGCAAAACCATTTTTCCGCCCCCAAACAAAGGGACACAGAAGAAGACGAAAGAGGGGGAGAACATGCAGTCTCGATGCAAAGCGGGTGCGGCTCCGTGTTTGCCACATTGCTATTTTTTGCGGCTTGGGTTCACCAGCTGAAGCCACACAACGGTAGTGCTGGCCGGTTTGGAGATTCGACCACGGCCATCAACGGGATCACAGTTCGAGGGACTTCCTGGTTTGGATAGAAACAAGTGACGTGACGAATGAGGTCTGGGGGAACCAACGCAGCCTAGATCAACCAGTAGTGATCTTCTGCGGCGGTTCTCGAACCCGGTTGATCTTGTGCTCCTGTTTCCTTCCCCCCCTCATATCATGTGTCTCACGGACGGAGTTAGTACATAGGGCGGGACGGGGAACGAGCGGTGCACGGTGGTGATGATCCCGCTTGTTCGTGTGGGATATGTTTCTCCGCTCAGCTCCTGATATTAGCGCTGATGTGCGCCCATCGGCGGGCTTTGGGCCGTTGCCGGCAGACTGGGACGATTGCCAGGGCGTTCTATTAGTGCCAATCTACGGTAACTAACTACGGAGTACATGCTCCGTACAATAATAACGACAAGAATCATAACTCCATACTCCGTACTGCGTACGGAGTACAAGCGCAGCGTATATGCCGGTACGAAAGACACGGCCTACAACAACAATAGTAGCGATAGCGGGTGGTCCCAGGAGATTGGAGCGTATTGAATGATGGGTCAGATTTTGATGACCGGCCAGGGGAGTGAGCCCACCGAGGTCGTATCTGGATCAAAAGGCGTATTTACGGGCGTCCCTTCTCAGGGGAGCAGTTGCGTCCCCTGCTGGGTAATCTGGTCGTCCAGGCAAGGAGAATTATTGTGAGACACCTCGGAGACTCCTGGCGGGCGGTTTCAAGTAGTGTGATGCCAGGCGGTGGGCAACGCATGCTGGGCCACGGGCAACGGTTTTCTTTTCTTATATGTGCTTGGTACGGAGCAGTGCTGTAGGGCCCAGGATGCCCGCCCGTTGTTGGGGCGCAGGCGAAGAAACAAAGCGGGCAGCTGTTGTTTCTTTGAGCGGCGCGCGACGTGCGGGCCCCGCCCACCGCGTTCCGCTGGGCTCCGGCGCGCGCGCGCGCGCTGGCGCTCCAGACCGGGCTAGCGCGAACGCCCAATACCAATAATACGGGCCCGCGGGGGCGGCCAGGGCGGCGTGTACGGTCACGCAAGGTTCCGGGGAGGGAAAACCCCCATCCGGGCGACGCCGCGGCAGGTTTAGCCGGGCAGGGTCGGCGGCGGGCCAATCTGGACACGCGGTGACGCGGGCGTTGTTTTGCTGTTGCTGCAGGCATGCCTGATCATGTTGTTGTTGTCGTCGCCCATCACACTCCAGCAACACGGTGGAGACGGTGACCAGGCAGGGGCGGTGGCTGCCCGGCAACGCGCTCGGCGGCGCGGGGCAGCAGACCACCCCCTCGACGGTGCCGGCCCTATCGCAGGCAGGCGGGCAGCAGCAGCAGCAACATCGCGCGCGCGGGGGCCCAGCAAGGCAGCGGGCATCCATACGGTACGGGTACGGTACACGCAGGCCGGCGCCGTCAGGGGCAGCACGCGCGGGCTATTTCTGACGGTAGTGTCGGCGAGGGACCAGCCGAAATTAAAAGGGTATGGTATGGGCGGTGTCCGGTGCGCTAGTACGGTACAGCCGTGTATCGTACCGCCGGGCGACGGCGGTGGAGCCCCCTGCGGCCCCCCTCCCCACTCCGCATGACATAAGCCGTAATGCCCTCGAGGCGGTACGGTATTTACGACGGGCGCAGCGTCAAAGAAACAGGCCGCAGAGGGAGACAGAGGAAGGCAGGCTGGCAGGCTGGCAGTCATCGATGGATGTGCAGCACAGCGCAGCGCAGCGCAGCGCAGCGTAGCCGGCCGGCGCACTATATATGGCGGCACGCTCATCCTCAGAGCCACCACAGGCTCCACGCCGCGGACCGCCGCACGACAAAAAAGCCACGCCCAAACCTTGCGAAATTGAGTCTGCGCTTCCTGGTCCATCACGTTTCCAGGAGCACCCGCCAAGCCGACGCTCAATCTCCTTTCTCTCCTTAGTGGCTCCCACGCTTCGGATCCGCGTTCCCGTTCAACTGGCGCTGCGCTGCTGACTGCGGGCGGTGTTGCTGTGCTGCCCTCCGCGTTGCTGCTCGTCTAAACCACTACTGCTGCTGCTGCTGGCCTGCGCTGCTACTCGTCTCGTCTGGGTTAGCGCTGCCGCTCCTCGTTTCTCCCGCCCGCCTCGCCTTTTTTGTCCCTGCCCACCCACTCCCTCTCGCTCGCTCGTTTCTTCCCATCTCATCCTTCCTCTCGTCCTCCCCCCTTTCCCTCCCTCCGCGCCTCAATCGCTTGACGTCTCTGCTCTCGCTGCTCACCGCATACACTCTTTGCGCAGTCGTGCTCGACGATTGCCTCTCCCCACCCACCTCCCACCCCCCCAGTCGCCCGCTCTCCTAATCTCTCCCTGCCCCGTCCATGCCCAGCCCGCCCGATTCCTTTATCACGCAAAGTGCCACCGTGGGATCGGACTCGCCAGCCGCAGCCTTGTCCCCGAAGATGACAGTATAGCGTGCTTTTTTATCCTCCCTGATATTTGCCAAAATTTCCTCGTCTTTCTGCTCCATAGCGTTCCGGGTCGTGTCGTTGTTCGTTGCATTGCTTGCTTGCTTGCTTGTTGGAGGTATTGCCCTCTTCCACTCCTTTACCAGTCGCTCCCTCTCGCTCGCTCGCGCTTCGCCGCTGTAGCCGTGTACTTACGCTCCCGCGTCCGCTCGTTCAGTGTTTTTCGACCCTCGTTTATCTCTCTCTACATCTGTTATCTGCAGGCAGAAAACATCCAACATGACAATCAGCTACGATCAGTCCTATCGATCCCCTAATATGGCTTCGCTGGAAGACAGATTCGAAGTGATCCGGCAGGTGGGCGACGGCAGCTTTGGCAGCGTCGTCGTGGCTCGAGTGCGCACCGCAGGGGCCACCGTGGCGAGGCGCGGTTCGATGGTGAGTCGAGAGTTTGAAGCAAACTCGCTACCCCTGAAGTCTAGACAACCGCAGAACTGACTTTTGCGGGGTGTGCAGGTTGCGATTAAAACAATGAAAAAGACCTTCGACACCTTCTCTGCCTGTCTTGACCTGCGAGAGGTGATCTTCCTACGGACCCTCCCCCACCATCCGCACCTCGTGCCCGCCCTCGACATCTTCCTCGACCCGCTCAGCAAGAAGCTACACATATGCATGGAGTATATGGATGGAAATCTCTACCAGTTGATGAAAGCGCGGGATCACAAGTACCTGGATGGGAGAAGCGTCAAGAGCATTTTGTTTCAGATTTTGTCGGGTCTCGACCACATCCACGCCCACAACTTCTTCCATCGGGACATCAAGCCAGAGAACATTTTGGTGTCGGGTGCTGCACCGTTCGAGTCCGTTCTGAGTCGCTATGCAACTCCGCCGTCTACCCCACCTACCTACACGGTCAAGATTGCCGACTTTGGCTTGGCGAGGGAAACGCACTCCAAGTCCCCGTACACTACTTATGTGTCTACCCGATGGTATCGTGCACCCGAAGTCTTACTTCGTGCAGGAGAATACTCCGCTCCTGTGGATATGTGGGCGATCGGCGCGATGGCCGTTGAAATCGCGACGTTGAAACCGCTATTCCCCGGTGCCAACGAAGTGGATCAGGTCTGGCGTGTATGTGAGATTATGGGCAGCCCAGGAAACTGGTACAGCAAATCTGGCGCCAGGGTTGGTGGTGGAGAGTGGAAGGAAGGCATTCGTTTGGCCCAGAAATTGGGATTTTCGTTCCCAAAGGTAAGTTGTCGCGTTCTGTCGAGCTTGTTGTGAACGAAAACGCGTCTAACATTGGCGTGTTTAGATGGCTCCCCACTCCTTGGAGAGCATTTTACAACCACCAGAGTGGCCGGCTGCCCTCAGCCAGTTTGTCACCTGGTGTTTAATGTGGGATCCAAAATGCAGGCCAACTTCAACTCAGGCCTTGAACCATGAATATTTTGCCGACGCTGTTGATCCCTTGCGTCCAAGATCTTCTACTGCTCGATTACTGGGCCGTAAGCAATCAGACAAGAGCTTCAAGACTCAAAGCAATGGCGATTCTCCCGGATTATCGTCTAAGGCGTCTTGGTTCCGTCGCTCGCTGATTGGCAGATCTGACAGCCCTGCTCCTCTCTTAGAAATGGACTCCAGCAAACAATCCTCCATCAACGCGGCTGATTCTCCATCAACCAAGACTAAAGCCGCGTTGAATAAACGCGCCACCTGGACAAATGGAGCTCCTATGCCCATTCTGCCTTCAATCAGACCTGTTTCTCCCTTGTCAAACGCTGTCCATGCCCAAGCAAACTCCTCAATTGCTAATGGTTCGCCTTCAAAAGAAGGCAAGGCGAAAAAGATTGGTCGTCAGTTGTCTGTCAATTCGAATGGAAATCACTACGCAGATATCCATCGGCACGACAGCGAGAAGTCTCTCAATGGAGGATCCACTTTAACGTCCCCGAGTGCCATGAAGGAGAGCTTTTTCTCCCACCTCAGAAAACGGGCACGCAGACTATCGGGTCGAAACCAAGTACCCATCCCTGGTGATGACGTGGAAGCCAACGCAGGTTGCGTTCCTTGGTCTAACCGTTCATCCATGGTTCTTGATTCCACTAACGTCTCCGAATCGAAATCCAATGGGTTCCTGGATCTGGACAGAGCACTGCAGAACGTGCGGTACAGCCTGGACAATTCATCTCCTCCAAATGTCCCTGTTCATGCCGCTGGAACAACGAGCAATACACCAAAACGCCAATCAGTACCACATGCCCAGGCTCTTCGTGTTTCAGAACATGGCTCTATCGCTAGTGGTGTCTCGACTCTCTCTAATCGTACTCGTCGAGCCTTGCAAAATTCTACTCGGTCTGTCCCACGTTACGAGACTCCGGAAGAAGAGGACGAACTGCTCCAAGAGGTTCTACACTCGACAAACAGTGCTGCACAGCGCCTGGGACGTGGCTCGATCACAATGGATGAGGTAGCTCGGGACAATGTGTTCAACGACCTCACTAACCAGCCAAAACTTGGCGTTGAAAATCACCGCCGCAACCCATACCCAACACCGTCCCCAACCGCAAAGCGAGATGTGCCGGCATTTATTTCCGACATCACCCCTCTCAAGCCGTTGGGGATGAATAAACCTAGTATGGAGAGTCAGAGACAGTGGCCCACACCGCCATACGATGAGGCTGAGTGGGCAAAGGCCACTGCTGCTGACCTCTTTGCTACTAGCAACTTGTACAGATAAATTCAATTGCTCCCTTGTCGATATGGAGACCATCTTTCCTAGCCGACCACCATGGCAGATTCTTCTTCTCAACTTCCCCTCTGCGACATTGAGTTCTGTTCCGACCACCTTTCTCACCTTTCTCCTTGTCTCGAACAAACACCTGCAACAACATCGTTGGGCGTCCGGGGAAAAATTCGCGCTTTCATAGACTGGTCCTTCTCTCTCCCTGTTTGGGTGGTAAAGCTTTGTCATATTTGGGCTTGCACGTCTTCCATTTGTTCTGCATTTGACTGTTTTCCACGGTGGTCTCTCATATATTTGGTCCATTTATTTTCCAATCCCCCAAAGCATAATATCCTATTTACTTCTTCATTTCTATACCCCCCATGGCCGCGCTCCCACTGACTTAGACTTCCGCGGGCCTATTTTATATTACATATTTATCTTCTAATCATCTATTTGTACTTTTTACACCCGAACATACCCTCCCCATTTTATTTCTATTTTATTCCAGAGATAGCCCAAGACACTCTCAGGTCCTCCCCATTCCGCGCGAGCCGCGAGAACATTCTTTTCGCTCTTGTTTTTTTTGCTTTATCGCTACCAGACTGTCGTTTTGAGCCAAGCCGCCACAATTTTCCTATCTATCTGATTATCTGTTCATCCCACCTGCTTTCTGTGTACATTCCTTAAAACTCGTTAGCTTTTCCGTACATTCTTTTTTCCCTTTTAGCCCCATATTATCGCCCTGCATCCGCTCGCTTTGGTGTTTTTTCTTTTTCGTTTTCCGATCTCGGTCATTCTGGGCGCAGTAAATATAGAAGGAGGGTTGGTGCGGCGATTGGGGCTGATCATTCGTTCTCTCCTTTTTTTTTTCTTTTCCCCTGTGCTCTCTCAAGTCATTCGTTCAAGAAACAAAAAACCCCTTTTAGGCTCGGCGGAAGACCCTGTGCCGTTTCGAATAGTTAACCCTGTTTACATATATCTCTGGCAACAATAATCTATTGTGTTATTTTCACTGTATTTTATTTTCTTTCTTTATTGCTGTGAGACCATCAGCTAAAAGGTGACCTGGATGGCGTGAGACAACAGGGGAATGTGTCCTGTGCACATTGGGCAGTTATACGGAGTATATCTTCCTTGATCATATGTTGTCATTTGTCTCTCTCCATGTACTTTTACACATACATACAAACTATCCACTTACATATCAACATAGAGTTTTCTGGGAGTTACTCCTACGTATATGAACCGGACAATCAAAACGGGGGCCACTGTGTTTCGTATACAGTCTTAAAGGTTCAGGTATGGGCAAGGAATAGATAGAATGAATCAGAAGATTAATCAAAAGATTCCAAATAATAATAGCTCTGCCCATCAACGAGCAAAAAAAGTGTGTTGGAATAACCCACCACCCCGCCACAGCGCTGGGGGCCCTTTTTCAAGCGGACAAACCACATACTGTTATTACGTACTGATATCAGTGGAGCCGCGCGGTGGAGCGCGATTTGAACACCGGCTTGTGATTTCGGGAGCTGAAAACTGAGTATTCTGGATCTACTAGACTACGAACAATGGCACCCCTGGTAGGAGATGCTCTAGTTTATCAGACCAGTCAAGTTCCACCCGCCGAACAGGAGACGGTTATGCGTGCGCACCTCCGTCATGCATTCAACGCTTAAAATGCAGGCTGCGAGCCAAGCCATGGGTTATTGGCTAGAGGGGGGGGCCTTCGTACTGTGGTATTCGTTCTGATAAAGCCAGAGCCACAGTCGCTTCTTCTGTCTATATTTTCTTTCCGTTAGCCTTTCCAAGCTATCATGTCAACACGACGGGAGAGTTGGGGTCGTTTCTGGGAGGCCCAGCGCGCGCCTTTCCGTTTGTTTGGAACCGGTGGGGAGCAAGGAGGTTCGATTTTGAAGAGATCTCTGTTCTTGACATACTCATTCTGGCATGTTGATCAACATATCACTTCTTGGGGGGCTACACGGCGATCAGCAAGCAGCAGGCTATGTACAAAAAGGCCAGGTGTGCGGAGTGCTCAAGCTCCAACCCCCCATCATATCCCAGGCGCCAGCATGATCGTAGTCAATAGTGTGTTGGGGTGGCAAGCAAGCGGCCCTGTTGTCTATCTGGGAGGATATGCCTCCCATCGGGCTGATACTGTATGCCGCGGTTCTGTATGTATGGCGGCTTTTAGGCCATGCAATGGCTTTTGATAAACGGCATAGCGGTATTCATTTCGGTATTGAGATACCTACTCCTAAGCTTTGGAGCCGTAGCCTAGGAGGGCAGTTTTTGCCGTGACGGTTGCGCATTGCTCAAGGGTCGAGTCGAGGCCTGGAAGGTTGAGTGAGAGTGTTTGCGTGGGCATCAAACCAAAAGCTTGATCGCGATCCCAAGAATTGTCGCAACAACGCCTCCAGCTCACAACAGCTATATCAAAGCTGACTACAGCGGCTGCAAGCTCCAAAATCATACCCCAGGAGCAGAACACTGCTATTCAACAAATTTAACGACTCTACAGCCCCCAGCGCAACACAATCCTCCCTCATTGTTTGATGGCTGCAAAATCTCGATAACATTCTGTCGCAAGCGTGTCTGCATTGACACGCCTTGAGCATATACATACAATGGCTCCTGCCCTCGCATCCAGCACCTCTCAGATCTCACACTTCTCCCCCGCCGAACTCTCCTACCTGCACACCTCGCTCTCCTACCCGCACAACCCCATCCGGCCCGACGGCCGTTCTGCCACGCAATTCCGACCCCTCGCCGCTGAAAGCGATATCTTGCCCAACACCAATGGCAGTGCGCGCATCGGCTTCGCCGACGGCACGCAGGCGATTGTGGGCGTGAAGGCGGAGGTCGAGAGGACGGTGAAGATGGGAGTCCTGGGCGCGTCGCAGGAGGCGGATGCTGGTGAAGGGCTGGATGAGGATGATTTGGGCGAGGAGGATGCGGAGAAAGGGGGTAGGAAGAAGAAGTGGGGTGCGGGCCAGAGCTCGTGGGTGGAAATGTCGATTGAGATTCCCGGGTTGCGGGATGATGATGCGCTGCCGGTGTTTCTGGCGGAGATGATGCGCGAGGCGCTGGTGGGCTCGGGATCGAGCGGTGGGTGGAATGATACTGGGATGGAAGGAGGGTTGAAGGGGAGGTTGGTGATAAATCAGGGCTGGCATTGGAGAATATACATCGATGTGAGTGTCCTGGAAGACCGTCCTGGCTTTGTTTTTGCTGATGATATCCAGATTTTACTACTCTCTCCACCACTGTCATACCCTCTCCCGCTCCTGTCACTAACAACGCACCTGGCGCTGCTCTCTACAAAACTACCTAAACTCATATCCAAAGACGAAGAAGATCCCATGTTCGATGACGACTGGGCTGCCGCGGAGTACCTTTATCCTCGTGTAGCACCGTCTCCCAAATCTATAGTCCCGCAACGACAGCCCTTCCGCCCGCCCGTTACCTTGCTCGTAATTTCCGTCGGCGAAAACATCATCTTTGACCCAAGTGGAGAGGAAATTGCTGTGGCTGACGCAGTATTCTGTGTTTCTATCGGCCGTGATGAAGAGACCTCAAATGACACACAAGATATGGACTCAAGCAACCTGAGACTATTGGCAATCCGCACTATTGACCCCCCCTCTCGATTGACGAACTCCGGGCTCTCGAATTCCGAGAATGCGCTTAGTATTGGCTTAGGGGAGGAAGTTAGTGGACAACTCGCTTCAGGAGATTCCACACAAGGAGTATGGAAACCGAGATTAGGAGGAGTGAAGAGAAGCGTTATATCTAGAATTGTGAAGCTGGTGTTACAGAAAGGTGGTGTGGGCGATGAGGTCATGCAGGGCCTCGAGGGTGTGGATGTAGGATAGAAGACGATAAAAGTTCCTTTGAGCGTTGGTCGCAATGTTTTAAGCAAGCATGAGCTCCGAATCCACCCAATCCTTCTTATACTTCTTGCGCTGGTACGAAAGAAACCTGGCTTCATATTGCATGGGTTGTAGTGGGATGGAAAAAATATCCATCATTCTTTTGAGAGAGGATATCGGTAGATTTAGATATCGGGCTTTGATAGTATGGGATCCGGCCTAGCCAGTACCCAGGTTGCTTTTTCATAAGCCATATAGTCCCAAAACTGTCCGTACGCCATGTATGAAACCCACGCCAATAAATGCCCTAGTATACAGTTGAAATAAACGCTTTTTTTATCCAGATTACCAAATACCCAACCACTTCTTCACGGGCTTCTTTTCCCCATCCCAGCTCATATACATATCCTGCTTTTCGTCTCCAACATCGTTGCCCCCCTGTTTCGCTTCCACGGTACCCTCACCGGACACCGGTTCCCCTTCCTCCATGCCGTGCGCTATCCTAAACTCCCTGCGTTTCTGCACGTCGTCCACATTGCGCTTCCGCTTCTCGACGGTCTGTAGAGTGATGTGGTCGGAATGCATTTTCAAGACAGTAAGAAATTGGCCAATGGTATCGATGGGATGAAAGAGGAGTTGCGACCAGGGTGGGAGGAGGTGGGCGAACGGAGACGTAGCCTTGAAGTTGGAGCTAAAGGTGAATGTAGCGAGGGAGACGAGCACACCCTAGACTTCGATGTGAGTAGGGCTGCGGTAATTCTGCTTGGATGTAAGATAACCCACTAGCGATATCCAAACATGTATGCCTCTGTTTGTTAGGAACTTATGCATGACTGTTCCTTCAGGCGGAAACATGTTTGGGTATTTCTTCGTTTTTTGCTCTTCCAGCTCCTTGGCCGATAACGGCGGGCCGGGGTAGTTTCTCGGCTGGGCATTGGGGGAGAGTACTCGTCTGGCTGGATGCGAGGGAGGTCGAAATTTGTCTGGCTTTTCAAGTACACGCGGTTTGTTGGAAGATGTCGAGGCGGGACGGCGGGTGATGAGTTGGTTTCCAGGGATGCGGCGGAGTACTGGGGATGGCAGCGATGGCCGTCCAGGCTTAGGAATTGCTCGAGAAACAAGAAAGAAGGGTATAGATGTAGTGGAAGCCATGATGAGGCCTCCTTAGGGTCGCAGTTACAACACAGTTTGATTGTCCGTTCGTTCAGTGCTTGTTTGATTCTTTTGCGCCGAAAATGGCCAGCCAATCACAGGCGATCTCTCTCCATCTTCGGATCATTATATATCCGGATTCCTCATCATCTTACATAATCTGCCGAATTATCGTCTGTATGCACTGTTTGCATCGCCCGCAAACACAGGCTTGCGCACGCAAATGTCACCGTTTCTCTTCCACGAGCTCAGCAAGTCGGCATTGACAGACAGCCTTCTGTGCCGCGCAACCCTGGCCTCTGTTCCTTCACGACCACCTTGCGCTCGCTCCCATCGTCTTGATTTCAAACTCGGTCACGGCTCGTATCGCCAAGCCCCCGGCAGCTGCAGGGCGGATCCCGATTCCGCCCGAGTCATGCCAAACACGCGCGCTGTGAGTGGCTGCGCACGCCCCCCAGCCAATCGGGCCGCGGCTAATTGACTTACATAACCGCGTAACAAAACGCGCGCATACAGCCTCACCTGCCGTCATTGCTGGGTTTAGCGTCATTTTCGGCGTTTTGTCGAAACAGGAAAAAAAGTTTTCGTTTTGTATCTTCTTCGACGACTTTGCTTCTCCATCTTTCATCTTCCTCCTCAGGATACTCCAAAAGCCATTCTTCTCCTTGTATTTTGTATATTGAGCTTCTGTTCTTTCTAGATTAATTCCCTGTTAATCCTACAAAATGGGCAAGGACTCCTTTTCTCCTGGTAAGTTCTTGTCTGCAATTGAGTTGTTCCTCACAGAGACAGCATCGTTCTTCCTAGCATTGATTCCATGCTTGTGTTGTGAATTGTGTTGCTTCACCAGCCATGGCCAAACTTCACATCCCTCAAGCAGTGCCTGTATCTTCCGGATCATTCCATCCAGCCTCAAACCCTCTAATCCCTATCCCAATAAATCGTTACATCTCTTACCATGTGCCTTTCTGAGCTCCCTATGGTTGTTACAGCCATTGAGCTGGAAGAACAATGGAAGTGCGAGATTGCTGCAGAGGAAGCGCAAAAGCAGCTTGCTAACCGCACTTTCCAACCAGGTGACGTTGCCAAAGGCGCCAACCTCTTCAAGACCCGTTGCGCATCGTGCCACACCCTCGAGAAGGGCGGTGCCAACAAGGTCGGACCCAACCTCTTCGGTCTCTTCGGCCGCAAGTCTGGTCAGGTTGAGGGTTACTCCTACACCGATGCCAACAAGGAGAAGGGTGTCGTCTGGGACGAGAACTCCCTCGTAAGCAGAATAATTCTGCAGCAGTGAAATTTGCAGTTTGTCGCTAACTACCATACAGTTTACCTACCTCGAGAACCCCAAGAAATACATCCCCGGAACCAAGATGGCGTTCGGTGGTCTCAAGAAGCCCAAGGACCGCAACGACTTGATCAGGTACGTTCTCACCAGCTAGAAAAAACGAAATGCCCCGTTCTCACACTTGCGATTAGCTTTATGGAGAAGGAGTGCAAATAAGCTCCGCAACCTTCGCCAATTCGCTTCTAAGCACCGCGCTCGTTTTTTCACCCTCACTCAGAATTGAGATTCTTCCTCACGACACCACCACGTTCATCGTTTAAATTCTGCATTTCTCGACGGGCGCAAAAGCATTGACCGCACGTCGACTTGGGACGACAAAAAATGGGCCAGCAGGATAAAGGTGGCATGTAACAACATTAAAGATTCCAGATGTACTTGTTTTTTTGTTTTTCTAGTTTTTTACAGTTGCTCTATGGTAGACTCTGTCGACTGCATTGACGTCGGACCGCTCTATGTTTGTTTCTTTGAGCCCGCGAACGACAGGTTTTGTCTCTTGGGCGGATGCATCGGAGTTCACAGACGGTTTTTGTAACATGCCAGCGCGATAAGACTTGATTCTCCTCTCAATAATGATTTCTGAAGACAGCTTCTCTTTTGGTCCCGCATATCGCATCCAGTCAGGCTCCGCCCTCCGTCGACGTGTCCAGTTCAATTTCACCGCATTCGCGATATCCTCTCATCAAGTCGCGAAGGCGCGGCCCACCAATGAAATCGGGTCTTGTGGTCTAGTGGTATGATTCTCGCTTAGGGTCAACTCCTGAGTATGTTTGCGAGAGGCCCCGCGTTCGAATCGCGGCAAGACCCCGAAATACCTTTTTTGTGCTTCTTCTGGTCTTCTTTTTTGCCATCTTGCGCCCTGGTGCGACACCGGCCCGCCCCTTTGACGCTGGCCTTGCTCGGTATCACCATCTCGCCCGGGTCGCCGCCCGCCGATCTGTTCTGCGTTGTCTGCAAAGCCAACTCGCCGCCGTCGCTGATTGGCCCAGCCATTGACCACGGGACCAGTGCGATCGCCCGCTGATTGGCTGGCGAGGGGCGTGACAACGAATACTGAGGGGCGGCAGACGACGGAAAAGTGACTTGTGAGCGCACCCAGTTCGCGCAGCACTGCGATGTAACTCCGCCCCAGGCCGCCCGCTGAAACCACCCACCCGTTCCCTCCACGAACCTTGGGCTCTCGCGCTGGTTCAACCGCCATCGCAAGACTTCACCTCCAACTCACAACCACCGCTGCGCTGAACTCGTCTTGAGCACTCGCAACTGACCTCTAGACTGCGCCCAGTCGCTCTCCAGCATTAACCCTGCAGTATTGCCGTTCTTTTGCCTGCAAAAGCAGCCTGTTTGATCCCGTATTCTACATGTTCGCATTGTGATATGATTGATAGCCATCTTTTCTCTGCAAGAACTGAATAAAGACCAAGATTCTCTCTCTCTGATCCAGTATCCTAAGTCTCCTTGACTGCAGTCCTCGCTCTGCCGCCTGGCGAACCCTCGCGAAGCGTTGCGATAAAAAGCGTTCTAGCCGTCCTCCTCCGTGGGCTGTGGACCTTTCTTATCTCACGTCTGCCTGAAAAAACAGTCGCATACACGCGTAGTCGCTGCCATCTCTCTCCAGGCGCATACGCGACCGCTATTCTCCGCGCCAGAGGCCTTCACGTGGACTGCGCGCGCGTCTAGGCTGCCTGCCCACACCCACGTACTCTCACTTGTCACTTCATTCCATCTCTCGATCCCCAACTCATCAATGAAACACAAGCCCATACCCTGGAGAAGCAATCGGCCAACAAAATGATGGCCACAGAGCGTCTAGACGATCTAGACCACGTCTTTGACGACCACCCGTCTCTCTCTGCCTCCCTGGAGGACTTCGAGGAACATGCTGCCGCGCATGCCCCATTCTTTGGTGCGCTGCCGTCACAGCACTCTGGCTTTCGATCGCATGGCGTTTCTGAGGATGCTGACTGCGAAGGCGAGGAAGACGATGATGATACTGCTGCCGCGCCAGATGCATCGTCCCACATCAGCGATCCCTGGTCTCCCCCGGGCACCCGGCGCCTGTTCGTGCACCAGAGGGAGTATATGAATATCTGCAGCCCTGGAAAAATGTCAGGCAGCGCATGGTATCGCCAGCAGCCGTATATGCGCAACCAGCCAGACCTGCGCCCGCCAATGGTCGATAGCCCGTCGAGGTCAAGAGAGGTGAGCCCGCAGTATGAAGATGCGCCAGAGAAGCCTCTGCCACAACAGCCCCATCAGCAACAGACATTCAAGGTGGACGACCTAATTTTGCCTGCCAGTATACCGCTGCCGCCAGGAACAGACTCGCCATTGAAAGGACGGTCTCCCAGCCCAGCTCCGGCAACTGTGAAAGAAGAGGATACTGCTGCTAATGAAGATAATGATAATGATGACGACAACGATGATAATGATAATGAGAAAGATGAAAAAAATGAGAAGCCACCAGTACATGGCTCGATAACAAATTGTAATATTTTTTTTAATATTGTACACCCCCTATTTACCCCGCATGAAACTAATTTGGCTCAGATATCCGTTTCGCCGTGCGTGCAGAGGTACAACATCGAGAGCCATTCGTTGCCTTTTTCAACTTCGTAGGTAGAAAATTTGACGATATCACACGCACAAAATCCTCCACCATCCTGTCCATAATCGTTGCGCTTGTATCGATTACTTTTCTACGCGCGCTCTTCCTGCCTCCATTGCCAATTCAATTACCAGATCTTGTCAAACTCTCGAGCTTTGCGCGATCCTTTGAACCTCTAATATACTATTCCGAAAATGGAGTACAACAAATCTGCACCCTCCAGGAAACTGGTGTCGCAGTCTGGGACCTGGGAGAGTCCTTGCGTGGTACGAACATGACCAGCGCGCCTATCATAGTCCGGGAACTGGACGAGCTATCCGAATCGCTAAAGGCTCTTTCGCTTGAACTGACACGCTTTTTCGCCAACGTCGATGCGGACATTGATTCCATCCTGATCGTGATGGAATGGGCCAAGCGCGAGTTGGAATCTCTCTCCCAACAACAACCCAGCTCCATATCAAGCACTCTTTTCGAAAACTTCCACGCCTTCCTCTCGCGCATGGGGGCTCTAGAAACCATTCCCTTAGCTCCACCGCATCCGCCTCCTCCCACTACCAACACCAGCTCTTCCAGCGCTGCCACAACCAGCAACAACCCTGCCGCCGCCCAACATCAAATCATCCCCATTCCTACACGCCTCGGTGCCATTGTCACTACCCTCTTCGGTCCCACGCGCTCCCAACGTACTCAATCCACTCTTACATTCGCCTTCACCGAACTTGTCGCCGTCCTCGAAGAGTCCATCAACACCGAACTCACCCACTCCACGGCACTCTTCGCTCTCTTCGAATCTATAGATCGCCAATTCCTTAACCTCCAGCGCACAGTGGTGCGCGAGTCTGACAGCCAAGAGCGTGCAGAGGGAGAAATGCTCTCGTCATTGTGGACCCGCGTCCTAGGGCCCAACTTCGAGGCGGTACGAAAGTACAAGAAGAATAAACGCCTTCTAGGCAGCGTGCGGCAGCACACAGTGGCGAACAAGCACCTCCTGATGGACCACCGCGGAAAGTTGCTAACACTAAAAGTCAACCTGGAGACGCTCCGGAGGAAACTAGTCAGCCCCTTATTACGGAGAAACGATTCAACAGCGTCAAGTATCTCCAATAACGACGGCAGCGGCGGCAATCTTCCTCTCGCAAGCAGTATTGATATAATAGTCGATGGTCAGATCAGAGGGCTTGAAGGCGCGCACGATTATCTTCGTATGGTGCGGGATAAGCAGAAGGCGAAACTTATGGAGATGGTGTACGGAGCCGGTCGGCGACGGGGAGCCAGCACCTTGGACACAGTTTCCTGAAAAGTGGATGAGATCGAAAGACGGTAAGGTCCGGTCTTTTGCTTCTGGTGTGAATGATTGCTAGCTGGGTGTTTGAGGAGATGTAGGTGAATTGCTTTTTGGTCTTTTTTTTCACTTTTTTGGTTTGATATTTGTTTTGAATATGTTTTTCACGTTCGCCTGTTGTTTTGATTGTTAGATAGGGGCAAATACACCACCATGGAGGCGTCTGGCAGGTTTGCTACTGGTGGGTTGCAGGGCTCATTCCATCTTGTTTCATTTGCACCTCTTTAGCACCCTGCCTGCATAGTATATGGTGTTAAATCTTCTATCTCCATATCATTCTCCTTCTTGATAGCTGTATGAAACATGATTGGTATTGTCTCTGCAAGACTCTTATGACTCAAAGTGACGGGAGTTCTGTTGCAGTAGGGTGGTTGCCACACGGATTCTTCCTCCACAAGATGCCTGACCACCTGTCATTTCACTATGCTTGCGTAAATGGAGGAATTTGGTTTGGTGATGATACTCCACAGAATTCTACCCCACTCATAAACCATACTCTAGCACCTGTACGCACCTTCCAAACTGGTGCAGTCGCCACACGGTACATAATCCCAACTGGTACCATGCAGATTATACACCCCAGTATGCACTCGATCTTCTTTTTAAACTATCTATCAACAGTATTTTATGTAAATAAATTCAAAAAAAAATAAACAAAAAGATTTATGGGGTCTTGCCGCGATTCGAACGCGGGGCCTCTCGCAAACATACTCAGGAGTTGACCCTAAGCGAGAATCATACCACTAGACCACAAGACCCGGTTATGCCTGGTTGGGGGGCACCCTTGATTTATCATGCTAAAGCTAATTGGACCAAGCATTTTGCGATTATAGTTTTTCTGACTCATCGTGTACTCCATACCCGTACCGTTTCAAGGTCGCTCAAAGCAAAATCCCTTCAGGTTGCCATTTGGATACGGTGGAATAAATAAAGTACTGAAGAAATATACTAGCAAATATATCTTTTGTTCCATATTCAAAAATTGTAGAGTCTTTGTTTGGTACAAAAAAGACAAAAAAAAAGATCGGGGCCCTGCCGCGATTCGAACGCGGGGCCTCTCGCAATCTGAGATCTGAACCCAAAGCGAGAATCATACCACTAGACCACAAGGCCGATTGATGTCATGGAAGTACCATGAGGAAATTATCACTACCATAATTTAGGCCAGTCGGCACATGAAACCACAACCTCGATCTTCGGCGTAGAGCAAAGAAATTACCACCTTATCAGCAACAATACGGAGTAGTTGATGCCAGAAGGAGCAACGCTTGGATTTTTATTTGAAATAAAATTTCCTAACTGACATATGACTATGAGAATGGTATTCGCCGCGATACATAGAGCACCCTTTTACTAATAATAAAGAACCTGACGCACGATTCCATATAACATATATTAAGAGCACAGGAAAGACATGAAAATAATAAAAGCAAAAGACTAGCTTTTCGATATAAAGGACAGTTCGATGTATGAAAAGGTCCTGAAACTTCCAGAAGTTTGGGTCTACTAAAGTCGCTACTCTAACAAGAACAAGGCTCACTCGTACCCCTATAACCTATAACCAGTTACTCTTTGATAGGATCTATTGACAATGGAATCCAGTCAAAAGAGTTTGCTTTCCATGTTTGAAATGATTGAAAAAATATAGCACAACAGAAACCCCAGGCTTTGTTAGAAGGTCTTAATAGCTGGCAGTGAATAATCTTATTACTGTATCATTGACTCTATTGATATTTCTGATGCATAAAGTCTCCTTGCGAGTACCGTGTGGAATGTGATGTTACGACCTAATTGTGAATGTGTCTTTTTTTTTTTTTGCCCCTACTCTACTATGCAAAATTCACAAGACCTGGCAACTCGGCCTTCTTTCACTGCATTGCTAATCAATTTTAAATGGGTGAGGAACTTCTCTCCTTCAAGGTTCCCTGGCCCTAGTGAGTGAAATATGAGGCGACTGCGCTCAGATCCTTCCTGGCATCAGTGGCTCGCAGAACATGAGTAAAGTGAAAGCATGGTAGGCCATGCTGTCACTAAATGGCTGGGAACCGACGGGGTTATTCATCAAATTACTTCACCCATGCTTACAAAAAAGGATCACATGGATTCCAGAACTACTTCGACAGATATGATGTGCAATAAACTAGATACCCTACTTACGAGGCCATTTCTCCACATAGATCAGCAAAGAAAATCAACTGTTCCTCAGAAAAGGCATTACATAGCCTAACGGCACAGTGTATAACTCAGTCACCACCTGAAGAGCGACTCAGTAGTGAAAGCTATTCTTAATGGCATGTTTCTAGAACCATCTACCAGTCATGCTTTTATTCACTCTGTTAGAAAGATTTGCCCCTAACCTATAAAAGATACCAAAACCTAGCTGAGCCAAAAGTTCTTCAATATATATTTATCTGCATAGCAGACATGTTTATCTCCCCATGCCCCGAGTAAAGATTGAGGCTTCCGACAACCTCTACTGTCTTTACACTTTTTAACGGCTATGCTCTCCTTTGCTGATTATTCTCTCAGGGCACTAGGGCAGCTGCTGTATCAATAACAGGAGAATACCTTTCTTTACTTGTCTTATCGCAGAGAACAAAACTATGTGGCATGACACTGCTGAAAAGAATTCCCCCTTCATCTTCTGTTCAACCACATATCCAGCTGCTAAACACCCACCTTTTTTCATTTCTTTAAGAATCTTAATGGCATACTCTTCGAATAGCCTTGGAGTCCCTCATACTGAGAGCCAATCTCTCCCTACATCCGGTCTGTTTCTCCAGTCAGCCGAGTCGACACGCCTCTTGTGCTCCACAGTGAGTGATACTACGAGTCCAACATCCCCGTTTGGAGAACATCCCTTTATATTCGATAAGATCTGAGCTTAGTGGATATACCCGTGATTGAGGATCATTTGAAAACGATACTCATAAAGAACAAGGATGAATGGGCTGATTTGGTGGAGAAATGGGCCCTGGAAGGCTCATGGCATTATCGAAGAACATAATGGGTATATTTTAAAATCCCTAGAGCGACAAAGCCTTCTTAGAAAGGTGGAACTGAAAGCTATCGCCGATGCTGTCCGTAAAGCATCCGAACCTTCCAGTGCCCTTAGGAATAGAGCAATATCGGGGCAACGCTTTAAAGAAGCGGCTAGCATATGCAGAAGATATTCTGCAAGGTCACCGTCGGAGGATGTCACCAGTTGCCACAAAATCATTGGCAATTTACAAGAAAGCATGCAAGGAGCAAATGCTTTGCGGAGAGCACGATGGCGTCGATGTGGCTGTTTCGTGAGTTCCTCTAACTACATACACCATGCGATGTCTTGCTCGTCCTGTCGTCCGACTACTACTGCTACTATCGTATATAAAATACCCCTAAAGTATCACACTGATGCATTGATGAGCCATAAAATGTGGCTGTCAATTAACATTCTTTAATTTTAATAGTTCTACAGAAGCTCTTCGGATGCTTTTAATCATTCATTGAGTTGGTGATTTTGAAATTAAATTGCAGCTATTCAGTTGTCATCATATGATAATTGCAGAACTTTTATGCAATCTGAATACGCTGTTGCGATTACAGACTCATCTCATTCATATTGAGCAAAAGAATGAGATTTTTATATAGATGCTATTCAATGACCATTTCTGATCTGACAGCTTAAATTAGCAGACATTGGGCACGACGGCAATTTTAGTAGGAGAGGTTAGAGCCACTTTGCAGGCGGCGATAGACCGCCGAGAAACCCGATATGCAAACATTTTCGCATTTCATTTTCGTTGGGAAGACGACAACACGGGTGCAGAGCGAGATGAGAAAAGTTTTCGAGATATGATTCGCTTAATGGGTTTCCCCAACCCAGACGTCTCCTAAATATATATATAAAGGTCCGAACGGGTTATCGTGGTACAGGCAACGCGTGGATTTGAGGTGACGGTAAAAATAATTGAAGCACTAAATCATGGCCTGGACATGATTTAAGATATTTGAGTATCTCCAATTACTATGGCAAATCCAGTATCTATGTTGGTGTTCCTCAATCAGTTGTGCGAATTCTTACAATGAAAGATGCAGGACATGCAGCAGTATACATTCGCAAGTGATAATCTATGACAGCAAAACAGACTGTTCAGAAATCAATGAAGATCCACAAAAAAGAAAGTATTAAAAAAGAATAGCTATCATACTCCATTGATGATATCTTTTAAGACAGCTACTTTAAACTAGCATGCCAGACACAACACCAGTTTCTATAGAAGATAACGATATGGACTCTTTTCCTAAATCTTGGCCTCCTCTATAACTGTCCTGGATACTAAGGTTGACGATGACAAGATTGATCTGGAGTGGAACTTTGCAATCCCGTCCACCTAAAACTACTAAAAAAACTGCAGGACATTATGGATCAAGCTCCTCAGAAAGCTCAGGCTTCTTTCCTCCTCTGCGATCTTCAGCACCTGCGATACTTGTGCAAATATTCTATCAATCCTGTGAGATTTGATGCTATGCCGCGATCATTCTCCGACTCAAGAGTAGACGAAATCGTGACGAAATGTTAGTTTCCATACTGACTATGCATAGTCATACCTATGGGCGGTTGATTTTATGATAGCACGGAACTGAAGGACAGCTTACTTGTTGCGTTACGTGCAAACGCAGATGTGACTCCAAAGGCCAATTCGCTGGGTATCATGTACCAGCACATATACAAACTGTGCTAGCAAACCAACATAAAAGCAGTGGCGGAAGCTATTGGTGCCCTGCAGTCGCAAATTGTAAGGTACTTCTTTTAGAAATCCAGCCCAACAAAGCATGATAAACCCCTTTTATATATATATATATATTTCCATGAGGGCTACCACTCGAAGCGTCAACACTGAAGACCCCGGGAAACCGGAGGCCAAGACACCTGCTAATAAGGGTGTAACTAAACTCTAGTGCTAAGAAAGCATCAAAAAATCCAGAGAGAAGTAGACAAAAAAGAGAAACGATTCAAGATCCCAAAAGATCCTTCTAAAAAGAAACAGTACGCCCAAGGAAAGGTTCACCTGAAGCCCATATGGGAAAGTCCTTTGAAGATGTTATCCATGGTGGTGTAGATCTACTGAACCTGAGCAAACTCTTGTGGAGATAACTACCGAGGCCCAAAGACACTAGATTGGAGGAAACAATTGAACTTTCGAGTTCAATCTCCTCATTCTCTATCGACTCGCAAGAGGAAAACCCAATGGACCTGGAATCCCAATCCGGTCTTCAACAACCCCATTCCAACAATGGGCAAGTTACTGACACAGAGATGGAGGAGCCATGGCAGTAATGAATAGTATTGGGCTGTGAGAAGCTTTGTTGACTTATACATTGATGCCCGACGGGCAAAAAGTACTTTGATTAGTAAATGACAGAGCAAATGGTGAGCTGTAAGCTTGATGTTGTCAGCCATGATCCCCTAAAAATCTGGAATGAATGGATTTTGGAATACGTGCCTCCCACAACTTAACTACATCCAGCCCACAACAATGCCTATAGGGAAGAACAGTGTGACTGCAGAGACCGAGAGCTGTTAGATTTCGTGTCAGACGATGAGCGACACCAACAAGTTTTCGCGAAGGATGTCTTTGGGCTCCATATATCGATGGTATCATCAAATGATTTCGCTCGCATGGCGCATCCCTCTTTTGGACCAGGCACCCTCAAGCCCCTGTTCTGGTGCTGTCTATGCCTTTTTCCAGTGTTTTTGTACATGTATTGTTTCCCTATGGACATCCGTTAGTTACTTTGACTAGCCACCAAATCATGTTTGCTTTCCTGTTGGGATTTGTTCTGGAATGCCACTCTATAAGAGGAATCTGCCGTCGGATACGGCCGTCAGGCAAACGGGGTCACTGTTAGCTATGTCGCTCGTGGTGGAAAGTCTCTGTACCACTCACAGACAAAGGTATAGTAATTAGCCTAGTACTTGTTTCTTCATGCATCCATATATCATCAATGAACCATTTAGACTCATCTATTCTGTTGATAAATCACGATTATATTCATCTAACTTGCAACCATGCCGCTTCTTCGCGCAGTACATTATCCCACGACACTCCTCAGGGCTACTATGCCCCCCAGCACGCTCCACTGTCTTTCTCGCACCCAGCTCCCCAAGCCAACCATCTCTTCTTTCAAACGACCCCTATCCACCCCGTCGTCACCTACAACCAAACGCGCCGCCATCGCCTTCTACTACCCCAACAAGGCCCGCGAACGTCTAGATATCGCGGCCTCCAAGCTCCAACAACAACCCAGCCGGGGACCAGTCTCCGAAACAGAAAAGATCAAGCTCTTGTCCGAAGAGGTGGTGCGGCTGTCGAAGCTACTAGGCGACATGGGAGCGAAAATCGCGAAGTTGCAGGACCAGTCGTCTTCGACGATGAAGCTGCTGGAGTTTATTCAAGGTCTTGGGAAGGGGATCGGGTGGGTGGTATGTCTCTCTCCCCCTTGAGCTTTGTATAATGCTGATAGGTAGGAGGATAGGCTTCGGTGACCACCATCATGGTTGGTTCTGGGTTTTTCGAGTTGATGAATCGAGTCAAAATAACTATTTCTTGAGCATTTTGAAAACGGTCTTTACTTTTGCTCGAGGGAGAGTTTTTGGAAGAAAGCTCGTCTAGAAGAGAGGAATCAATATTGAAGATAAAGAGAACTTGTTTTCTTTCTTTTGATCATTGCAGCGCTGAACAAATGACGTAGAATACACCCCAAAGTATATAGTACACCAAGGAGGGTGGAAGAGGGTAGTGATGAAGGCAAAAAAAAGGGAAGAAAAAGACAAATCCCCATTCCTGTAATAAGTTAAACCCGGGCCAATAATTCAAATTTTCCCCGTGACAACGCCATTCTTGCAAATAAAAAAAGAGGAAGAACACTTAGGAGTATCATTAAGCGTATTCTATCGTATTCGACCCAAGAGACAATGCACCGCAGATAAGTGCTGAATCGCAAAGCCAGCGGTCTGCAAACGGCATAAAAAGCACTCCCTTAGAACCCGTAGCCCTGACCATACGGCGTGGCTCCGTACGGGGTCGTGCCGCCGGGATTGCCCCATACGCTCTGGCCACCGGCGGCGGCACCGACGCCATTGGGCGGGAAGGCACCGAACGCGGCATCGATGCCCTCGGGCGGTTCGTAGGCGTCGGGGCTGCGGACACCGTCGGCATCGACGCCGTTGACGCCCGGGTCGCCGTGCTCGCCGTGCTCGCCACCGTCGCCGGCGCCCGTGAGCGCGGAGATGATCTCGGCCAGTTTGCGCTGCAGCACGCTGATGCCCTGCTGCACGATGGTGTCGGGCTCGAGGTTGCCGATGGCCTCGACGTCGATGTAGAAGGTGGACGGCGCGGCGTCGTAGTCGAACGGCATGTCCGGCGCGGCGGGGTGTTCCCATTCGGCGTTGGCGGAGATGGGCCTGTGGTGCTGCTTTAGTATTAAAGATATTAAAAAAACGCAAAAGAGACCCTGAACGCACCATTCCTTGATGGCATCCTCCTCATACCAATAATCGACATGCCGCAGATTATTATGCGGATCGTACTCGAACCCGACAGCCGCCGTCGGCGCCCACTTCGCATGCTCCTTCGCAATGCCCTTCTTGACCACACACGTCATCTTGACCTCCTGGCCCCTCCGCAACTTACATATAATGGGCCCCTTCCCCGCGGGATCGTTGATGACGGGATTACCCACCCACTCGTTCGCGCGGTCGCCAATGACCACCAGGTCGCGGGCGTACACGACCATGACGCCCTCGCCGGTGCACTTGGCGTGCAGCTGCAGGGAGATGACGCAGCGGGCGCAGCCGCCCTCGCAGTCGCACTCGCGCGCGTACACCATGTCGACGTCGCAGTTGCGCGAGTGCAGCGGCACCAGGCCCAGGCGGTGCGCGATGAACTCGTCCGGCAGCACCGACGTGTTGCTCTCGATCTCCACCACGTCGATCGCCACCGTCGGCACCTCCGTCAGCATCACGCGCCGCAGCGAGTTCGCGAACGCGAGGTCCACCGAGCTCAGTCGGAAGTCGACGCGGTTGGGTTCGGCCTGCGGGGAGAGAAAGTGTGTGCGCGTGAGTAAAGAAGAGCTGTCGTGGATGGGTAGGGGTCTCGCTCACTTCTCGCACGGTGACCTGCGGGCCCTGCGGCTCGATGTCCATCTCATCATAGTCCATGGCGGCGCAAGGAGATATGGGAAGAGGAGCTGCGCGTGGCAAGCTCGCTCCCGTAACGCTGCTTCGTATGTGCTCAGGGTGAGTAGGACGGTGTTTCTAAGTGTAAAAAGAAGTATTCCGGAAGGGATAGTTGCATGGGAGAGCTTCGTAGGCGTGCTGAGTGGGTGCGGGTTTGAAGATTCACGTCGGGCTTTCATTCACTCTATTCTCGATCAAAAAGATCCGCTTAGTCATCTTTTATCCGATCTCAACGCAAAATACGGATCATCTATAGCCCGCATTCCGAGGAGACGGGGGCACGTGCGGTCTCGCTCGCTCGGAGATATGCCGGGAAGCACAAGCCTAACGCCGCCGGAGGTCACACCCGAAGACGGTTGAAAAGCGAACCGTGGAAGGGCAGAAGCGACTAGATAACGGAAAAACGTGAAATTTTAAAATCTATACATTTTTTGGGAGTTTAATTCCAGGCTCTATGGATGCAATAAAACCGGTCCTAATAATTTTTGTATACGGGGCAGCACGCGAGCGTAGCATCAGGTTTTGGGTGAAACGCTATTAGGCGAGCACGTGTCATGTTCAAGAGAGAGAGAGAGAGAGAACAAAAAGGAAAGCTCTGGAAAACAGAGTTGGTGTTGGGGGGAGAGCTAGGGGGGGAAATAAAGTTGGATGGAAATAAAAAAGGCATTGTTCAAGAGAATCGGACCCCCGAAAAAGGCGCAGCCTTATCGTATTAGACAATGTTAACACCCAAACCTCCGGCCAGTCTATAAATGTTTATGAGGTGTAATGCAAGCGGTAGGACGAGAAACAAGAAAAAGACAGAACACCGAAACAAAATCAAGAAGTCAAGAAAAAGGGGGATGGGGAAGAGGGCTGGAAACAGAATCCAGTGCATACGCGAAGGATGTCTAGGGTGTGCAGGGGAGGGAGCAGAGAGGGAGGTAGTACGGAGCGCGCATCATCATCCAAAAGTCAGCGGCCATTCATTCTTGTTTTCTTGTTTTTTGCTTGGTTAACTTGTATCTTGAACGTAAATGAGGAGGGCCTGGGCAGCTAATGACAGGTATACTGATTAAAAACGTCAAGGCGCTTTGACTGGACGGGGCACCAAAGCCGAAAAAAGAAATTTCAAGCCGAAGTTCTCTTGTTTGTCTGTCTGTCTCAAACAGCGAGTGCACGGATTTCCAAACGCGGGATGAAATTCTGCAAGTCTGTCCAACGGAAAAGCGACGAAAGTAATGATGAGTTGGCCAACGCAAAGTAAAAAGGGGGAGGGGGTTTTGAAGGTGTCAGAGTAAAAAATAAAAATAAAAAAAACGCAAGTCTATGGTTGTAATGCAGATGTAATGGCCCAAAACGCAATGCTCGTATTTATCAGAAAAAAATGGCAGCAGATCATTACCCAGATCCCCAAGAGATGAGACTGCGAGATGCTCCGAGATAGGTGGTGGGATGGCGCCGGAGGGGCCCGTGTAGCTGGATGGCGGTGGACTGGGGCGGTCTCTTCCGATACAGAAGGACAGGAAAAGGACAAAGCGGCGGTTTAGATAGAGCGAGAATGGCAAACAGAACGCTGGAAGGAGAGCCGTCGAGCTTTTGAAAGGCAATGCGAGAAGAGAGAGATGACAGAGAGAGAGAGAAAGAGAGATGGCGATGAGACTACCGCTTGACGGAGCTGCGGTTGAGGGCCTCGAGCAGCTCGGGGCGGGCGGTCAGGGCGGCGGCGGCCTGGGCGTAGGACACCCACTGGCGCTTGCGCTTGTGCATCTCGGGCCACTGCGGCTCCTCGCGGTCGACGCGCACCTCGAAGAACTGGTAGACGACGCGGGGCGCCTTCGCGGTGATCTGGGCGGGCGTGCGCATGTCGGCGATGGCGCCCAGGTCGCGCAGCACGGTGCAGACGACGCCGGCCTCCTCCCAGGCCTCGCGGCAGGCGGCCTGCTGGGCGGAGGGCTCGTCGAGCTCCCAGCCGCCCTTGGGCAGCACCCAGGCGCCGGGGCGCGCGGACTGGATGAGCAGGATCTTGGACTTGTCGGGCGAGACGGGCACGACGCCGGCGACGAGACGCTCGCCGTTGGAGCCGTAGCCTGGCGCACGGGTGGTTGGTTAGCTGTCTTTTTTTTTTTTTTTTTTTTTTTTTGGTGATTTTTGTATTTATTGTACTCACGTTGGTTTGAGCGGCCGGTGCGAGACTCCATGGTGCGAGTTTGGGCCATCGAAAGGAAGAGAGAAAAAAAAAGAAGTCGGAGAGGAAGAAGCGAGAAAACACGAGGGGGCGAATTGGGTGGTACGGGCGGGGGCCAGGGGGGGTATGGAAGGAAGAGCTCGAAGGTAGGAGAGTGCAAGCAGCGATGAAGATGAGGATGAGGATGAGCACGAGAGTAAGCGAGCAAGGGGGGGGGGGGGGGGGGGGGGGGGGGGGGGGGGGGGGGGGGGGGGGGGGGGGGGGGGGGGGGGGGGGGGGGGGGGGGGGGGGGGGGGGGGGGGGGGGGGGGGGGGGGGTAGGGGGGGGGGTGGCGGGCGCGCAGGCTTAAATAATGGGAGCGGCCAGCAAGCCAGCCAGCCGACCGGGCAGCAGTTAGCAGCAGCAGCAGCAGCAGCAGCTCGCGCGCGGCGGGCGGGCGGCGGCGGAGGGCGAGCGAGAGCAAGCCAGCCCGGCGTTTCAACGCGCGGGAACTACGGCGCGCGGCACTAGCTGGGCGCGCGGTCTGGCACGCCGTACGCCGCCCGCCCTGCCAGCTGGCGCGGTGGGCGCACGTGGCCGGTCGCAGTGAGGCCCGCAGCCCGCCGCTCCCGCCCAGCCTGGATCGCCGCCCGCGAAGCTTTCCCACCGCCCTTCGCCCTCTAGGGACTCCGTACGGAGTACTCCGTACTGTTCGCGGGTTAGTCAGTGACTCTACGCAGTAACCAGTGGGTTAACTATCATCTAGTTAACTACTCCGTACTCCGTAGTCTACGCTGTACTCCCACCACCGCGTCCCGGATGCCTCCCCCCCTGCCTCCCGACCCCTGCCCGGCCGCCGCCACCGCTCACGTCCTCTCCTCTCCTCGTCCCTCCCACCAGGCACGTGCCCCGCGCCCGCCCTTTCGTCGCTGCGGTCCCTGCATGCATGACGAAAACCAAAAACACCCGCTCGGGAACCGCCTATCGTCCCGCGACGTCGCATCCTCTTCCTTCCCTTCTCGCAGCCTCCCCAGCGACCGTGCTGCCCGTCGCCCGTGGGCCAATGCTGCGTTGTCGTACCGCACTCGCCCCCCTCCCCCCGTCTCGCCGCCCAGCAGGGGCATTCCCTTCTAGCGGAGCCGGCACACGGCCCATCCCTACGGCAATCAGCCTGGGACGAAATAAAATGGACCGACATCCTCTCTCTCTCTCTCTCTCCCTCCCGTAGCACCACACCACCACCTGCCGTCCACCTGTTCACACCTCGTTCGCAGCGGAATTGTGATGCCAAGAGCTCGGCAGAACCCCGTCACACCGCCTTCGTAGCGCCGCTGCTTACCTCAGCCTGGATGCTGCCATCGAGTGCCAGCTACGCCCAAGTTCGTAGAATTAATGATATATAGAAGTAATGGGCGAAGAAGCAAGATACCGTAGATCGTGCCGGCGGGGCGTCTACGTAACGGTACCTAACCTTAACTAACTAACTACGCCATATCACGTGAGAATTATCATGTGACCGCCGCCCGGACCACCCATCCCTGCTCCACTTAGCTAGTTAACCACCTTGGCCCGGCCAACGAAGAACATCCTCTGTAGATACCATCGCCCTTCCTCACTGCCAGCTGGACGCCAGCGAGCCACAGCTGAAGATCTACATTCTGTGCACATTTCCAAGAGCCCACGCGCAAATAACCGCAATATAGCCTGGCCTGCCTACTCCGTCCTGCCTGGGCCTGCCCACCCCCTCACTTATTATTTATCTACCCAGTGTGAAGCTTCCAACCCCCTTTCTCGCCCCCCCCCCCATAAAAGCCCAGCCTCCAATCACCGACTGCATCCTCTCAGCATGGTGGATGGGCCTGCACCCCCGCTGGCCTCGCTGTCGTATTTTGCTCCGCGTGGTAGGTTTGTCGGCTTCACTTTCACTTTGGCCTTGCCTTGTCTGCATACTTTCACTTCCCAATGGTCTTGCACACGTCTCCACCCGCCGGATATCCACGCGCCAGCTAGCTGCGGTAGCGGCGGAATCGCCCGCTGCCCCGTTGTGATATCCCGTGGGGGTGTTTTGCCATTCTACATGCTATAGAATACCCATTGGCTCTTTGCCTTGAACTTTCTTTCCTGGATACCCCTCTATCTTTCTTTTTCTTCTTTTTTCTTTGGCAGATATACTAAACAACTACCCGTTCAAAAGGATACCAACGGCAAGGCTGTGGGTACTGCAAAGGCAAATTCGAGAATGGAAGTCAGTCAGCTCTCCGTGTTTTTCCTAGCTTGAAAGATGTACCACCCTGACTCCGCATAGGTGCTAGTTTCTACGCCTCGTCCACTCAAGTTCGCGTTCAGGAATATGAAGAACTTCTCACTCGCGGGTGGAGGAGGTGCGTTTCTCCAGCGACATCTCTGATTTGATCCATCAGCCTCTGACAATATGCACCAGATCCGGTACTCTCTATTACAAGCAAAATCTAGAGCGGTCATGCTGCCCGCACTATACCATGAGGTCCGCATCTCGCTCAATGCAAAAGCTTTTTTCCTTTTTTCCTTTTTTTTTTTCTGCGTGTTTAGCTGATCTCCGGCCTGACGGTCTGTCTAGACTGGAAGCAGCTGAATATAAGCCAAGAAAAGACCAGAGAAAGGCTCTCAACCGCTGGAATAGGTTTGTTCTGGGCCAGGAATATATTCGGAATGCGGCGATGCTTTGTCCGAAGACAAGACAGTACGTATTTTCTTTGTTACAATACCCATTTTTAGGCCGCTTATTGTGAACTTTTGCGTTGTCCGTCTAAAATTCTGGCCCTAGGGAAGCTAAGTCTCGCAAGAACACCTTCGATCTTAGGCAAAGAGTGCATGAAGCGGAATATAGTCAGCTCCCGCGCCCAATTAACCCGAAAACGAAGCTGCCCATTGAGCCGGCCCATAAATTTGAAGTGAAAATAGAGGCCGACTCACTATCACTGGAGAAGTAAGTCGAGCCCCGCGCCTAGGGCATTCGTCTTGCTTAAGGATAGCTAGGTATAATGTCTTTTTGAAATATCAAATGGCGGTACACAAAGACAGAGAAGAACGGTGGAAGCAATCGGATTTCAAACGATTTCTCTGCTCCGGAATTAGCCGTACAATCGTGCGGCGCGGCGAGAAACAGCAAAGACAAGGATCTTACCATCAATGCTACCGCCTCGATGGGAAGGTTATTGCCGTTGGTGTCCTTGACCTGCTACCCAATGGCATGAGCTCGGTTTATATCTAGTCGGTGCAACTTTTCCCACTATCCATGTACGTAGTGAACGCTAATCGGTATGAAGCTATGATCCGGATTACGAGCAATGGGAATTTGGAAAGCTGAGTGCCATGAGGGAGCTTGCAATGGCCATCGAGGAAGGTTATAAGTATTACTACATGGGTCAGTCGCCGCGTATTGATGTTGGCGTAAACTAGCTGCTAATCCCCTGGCGCAGGGTTTTACATACACTCTTGCCCCAAAATGTTGTACAAGGCGGCGTTTCGACCGCAATTCTTACTAGGTATAGTGGTCGCCCGAAGATAAAAGCCCGGTCACGATCTTAACACATCGATGTAGATCCGGAGACACTTCTATGGAACCCATTGGAATGTTACACCAAGAAGTTAGCAAGACGAAGATACGTCTCCCTTTCCGAGAGTCACGATTCGGATCCAGAAAAGGAAAACGACGACTTCGTCCTGCCCAACGAAAACGAGATGTCTCTATTCGACATTCGCATGCCAGGAGTCATGACGCTAAAGCAGCTGGAGGCGACCGTCGATCTCGATCACTGGCGCCTTCTCGTTCGCGGTACCTTGGTAGATATGGATGTACGTCCGCGCCTATCACCCTGTTTGTGCTTTTTCCCAGATATTGACAGCATTTTTTAGAATTTAGTTGACTGGGACATCTCGAATATCAAAGAACCTCATTCCATAAAAGGCATTGTCGCCGAGCTGGCTGCTGCTCTGGGCCCAAAGGTTGTCCAGAATTCCGCCGTCGTCTTGTTTCCCTCGTGAGGAGATGTGTTTTCATGGGCCCTTGATAAAGCAAGTATATCGATCGGCTCGGGTTTCGGGGTTAGGACGGTCTCTGAATGGCTCGCCGCCGGCCTCTGGCGATCATCAGTCGACCTGTGTGTACAACGGGATGGGATGGGATGGGATATACTGCATCATCTTCGGAAATCTGTACGTACGTCCAGGACTTACAGAACTGCATGTCAGGTGGTAGATATCGTAACTGCTCCCGCTACTTCCAATTCGTTCTTGCTGGCGGATAGACCGCACTACACAGCTCCATATCCGCAATTTGTCCAAAAATTTCCATTCCCAGAAGGCCCGCCGGCGTCGAACCTGTGGCCTGGAACGAAACCTCAATCAGTTTGTGTGCATTGCCGTCTGGTTGTTTTCTAATGCCGAAAGTCCCGACGGGAAAGCTTATCTTTCGCGCGATAAGATAAGACAGCTTCATCCCGCTTTTTTTTTTTATGACTCGATCGCGAACTTAGGCACGAGGCGGTTGGATTCTTGCTCGCGATGGCTTGATATACAAATAATACAATCACTTTCTCAGCTCTCTTTGCGTCTTTCTTTTCTCTCCTTCAATTAACACACGATGTTGCCGGCCCAAGCACATCCACGATCGGACGCCTGTGGCGACGGCGCCGCCTACCCCGCGGTCCACGACGTCGAAAAGGACGGAGAACAGCAATCGACCGAAGACAAAACGGCGATTCATACGCAAGAGAAGAAAGGGTCTGGGGTTGTACGCTTCAGCCAGTCCGTCTGGCGCCGGCTGGCGGCGTGGGGCGTCGAGGTCCGCGGCGTCGTGCCCATCGCGGTCGAGGATCGGACGGACAAGCGCGTGGGGAATGTGTTTCTGCTGTGGTTCACCATGAGCTGCAACCTACTACCGTGAGTTTGATGCTTCGTTCGACGTGGAGTGGCTTCTGTTCCGTCGGCAGCAGACCCCGAGAGGTGCTGACTGGACGACTGAGTTTCTTCTGCTTGCCGGAAATAGGGTCGTCACCGGGATGGTCGGCACGCTCAGCTTGAACTTGAGTCTACGAGATGCTTCTCTGGTGATTGTATTCTTCAACGCGCTTTGCACCGCGCCGCCGGCGTACTTGTCGATTCTGGGCCCGAAGACCGGGCTGCGCCAGATGATACAGGCTCGCTACAGCTTTGGGTCAGCGAAACGCCCGCCCCTTCCTCCCGACAACCACCGGACTAATCCTCGTTGCAGTCTCTACATCGCCAGCATCGTCGTCCTCCTCAACCTGGCCACGGTCTCGGGATTCACCATCATCGACTGCGTCATCGGCGGACAGACGCTCTCGGCGCTCAACAGCAACGTCAGCGTCAACGTGGGAATAGTCACCGTGGCCGTGCTGTCGCTGGTCATATCCTTCTTCGGATACCGAGTGCTGCATCAGTATGAGCGATACGGCTGGATCCCCATCCTCGCGGGCATCGTGATTGCGACGGGCTGTGGCGGCCGGCACCTCAGCAGGCAGGTTGAAGCGCGCCCGGCGTCGGCGCCGGCCGTGCTGTCGTTCGGAGGCCTGATTGCTGGGTATCTGGTGCCGTGGGCGGCGCTCAGCTCGGACTTTTGCACGTACATCTCGCCGGAAGTTTCTTCGTGAGTGTTTGTTCCGTGGCATAATATAATACACCACCATAATGAGCTACAACTAACGACCAGGGCGACGACGGCAGCAAACGAATCTTCACATCCGTGTACCTCGGGCTGTTCGTGCCCACGGTGCCGCTCATGGTCCTCGGGGCGGCGATTGGCGGCGCGGTGCCCAACGTGCCGGCGTGGGCGGCGGCGTACGCCACGGGGTCGGTGGGCGGGATCTTCGCGGCGATGCTGACCGGTTCGGCGGGCGGGTTCGGCGCGTTCGTCACGGTGCTGCTCGCGTTCTCGACGCTGGGCAACATCGCGGCGACGATCTACGCCATCACGCTGAACTTCCAGATCCTGCTGCCGGTGCTGGCGCGCGTGCCGCGCGCGCTGTTCGCGCTGGTGTTCGTCGCCATCATCGTCCCCGTCGCCGTGCGCGCGGCGTCCAGCTTCGTGGCCGCGCTGGAGAACTTCGTCGGCGTGATCGCGTACTGGTCGGCGGCGTTCTTCGCCATCGTGGCCGTCGAGCACGTGGTGTTCCGGCGCAAGCGCTACGAGTCCTACGACCACGCGATCTGGAACGACGCGGCGGCGCTGCCGAGCGGGTGGTCGGCGCTGGCGGCCGCGGTGCTGGCGTTGGCGCTGGCGGTGCCGTGCATGTCGCAGAATTGGTTCGTGGGGCCGGTCGCGCGCACGACGGGCGATATCGGGTTCGAGGTCGCGATGGTTGCGAGTGCGCTGCTGTACGGGGTGTTACGGGGCATCGAGGTCAAGGTCAAGGGGGGGCTGTGATATGATATGATATAATATGGTATATAGTGTTAATATAAGATGAACGGTGTATGTGTGGCATGATAGACACGTCAATCCACAGGCAATAATGACAGTTGTGCAGCAAGGCGATTCTGTGGTATGTTCCGGGATACTATGTATTATTCGCAGTGCGTTTCCTCAACGGCAAGGAACATGTACCTAGGTACGGTGCCGTTGCCGGACCCAAGAAAAGACAAGCACCCAACGCCTTGCATATAAACCCAACAGGAGTAACAAACCAGACCCAACCAACACCCAGCACACAACAAAACTCCGCTCCCATGCTCCGAAACAAATAAAACAAGTCCCTCGCTCACGGCATCAGCTCGACGGGCGGGCGCGGGGTGTGGGCCAGAATGCGGCGGTGCGGCAGCTCGACGGGGCCGACGCCGAGCATCTCATCCGCAACGAGCGTGGTGTCCTCGACCATGACGGCGGGCAGGGTCGGGCAGCAGCCGTGGGCACCGGGGTGGTAGATCAGGGTGGTGGTGTTGGAGCCGGTGGGCGAGACGTCGTCGTCGCTGTTGTTGTTGTTGTCGTTGTCCTGGTCGTCGTCGGAGCGCGGGGTCTGGGGCGGATTGGCCGCAGGGCAGGCGGGCGCGCGGGCGTCCAGACAGGCGAGGGCGGCGGCCAGGTCGGCGGCGTGCACGTCCTTGTTGGGCGGGTGCTCGTTGCGCACGACCCAGCCGTGCGGCGGGCTGGGCGGCGGGCTGATGAAGAACAGCTTGTCGGCGAGCGGGGCGTCGAGCAGGCGGCGGGCAGCGGCGGCGGCGGGGTCGTCGTGCGCGACGGGTGTGGGCGCGCCGAAGTAGATGCGGGCGGCGCGTAGATCGAGGTCGAGGCCGTCGTCAGTCTCGAGGAGCTGGCGGGCGCGCACGGCGGCGGCGGCGGTGGCGAACGAGCACACGATGCGGCGCAGGGCGGGCAGCGCGGCGAACGAGTTGAGCGGGGCGACGGCGGCGAGGCGGGTGCGTACGGCGGCCAGGTGCGCGGGCTGGAAGAGCGCGGGGCGGCGCAGGTCGGTGATGAGCAGCGTGTTCGACGGCGGGGAGGGTGGCATGGCGGGTGGTGGTGGAGGGAGGGAGAGTGAGTGAGTGAGTGAGGGAGGTTGAAGCTGAAGTTGAGGTTGTGAGCGGTTAGGTAGCTAGTTAATTAACTAGTTAACTAGCTAGTTAGGTGGCTAATTAGTTAACTAATTAACGGGTTAACAGTGCTCCGGGTGGTGTTAATTCTCCCCACAGCCAAGTACTGTCGACGACTCTGTAGTGATGGACGGAGTACTCTGCTCTCCTCCTATATAGCCAGTCTCCTCTGTAGCTACCTAGCCAACTGCTCCGTACCTGGCGGCCTAACTACATAACTACCTGACAGGCGCAGCACGCCGCCCCCTGGCTGCGTCTCAGCCGCGCCGCCTACGACGCCCTCCAAGCCGCAGCACCGCCGCCGTCACGGCCAGTCCTGCGCCTGCACGCTCACTCATACCCTCATGCCTTCGTCCGCCGTGATGTCGACCGGCATGCCGCTTCTTCACACTCCCGCCAAGAGCTCGTACAGCGAGCGGTTTCACCGTCCTTTTCCGGCGCTGCGGCGTATTCCTCGCTGGCACTGCCTACCCTGCCACTATCACGCCGCTGTTTGATGCTGCGGGTATAGCCACCGGCCTATATCGCGTCTGGCTATTCTCTCCCATTCCGCCCTGTCACAGCCATCGGGCACTGAAGGAACGCCCGGTCGTGATTGGCATCGGAACGAACCGCAGCGCCTCCGCCGCGAGGAACACGCCCGGTGCCACCACCACCGACATCCATCTGTATCTCGGCTCCAAGCTGCGGCAGCATGCGCACACCCTTTTTGCCCCGATGCGGACATCCCGTGTTGGCCGGTCTTGTTCATCTGCGCTCGCCTGCGCGGTCGCACAGCCAGACTGACCGTGTGTCGGCTCGCAACGCCGGTGCAGGGCTGCGAATCACGGCGCGAATGCCTGCATCCCTCTCGTCGCACACAGCTCTTGATCCGGCCGGGTCTGTGCAGGTTCATGTTTGCCCGCGCGAAGCTGCTCGCTCGCTCGCGCGCGCGCCTCTCACAGGCTGGCCGCCATGGTAGCCTACCCGCGCCCCTGCCAATCAGCGCGCGCGCTCTCTCTCTCTCTGTTCTCGGAGACGATGTGTCGACATCCTCCTCCAACGCGCATGCTGCGCTGCTGTCCAATCTTCTGGCGGATGTGTCTTCCGGCCTATCTGCGCTCGCCGTTGAGTCTGACCCGTGCAACCCTATCCGCTTGGGGCAATGCATGGCATCCGCCGTTGGCCGGCGTCGACTCATGCACACCAGCACATGCCATGGCCCGTTTGCTGAATATTATCCCCCGTCAGAAAGAGAGAGACCAACACCCGCCCGGATCTGTAGAGCGCCTGCTCTGACTCGTTCTTCCTGCAGGCGAGTGTTGCCTGGTTGTATTGGCCTCTGCCCGGCCCACTCCCCTCCCTCAACCTCCCGCGGGCCCATCCGCCTCACTCTTGCGCATTGTATGCCCAAGCATAGCTGCCTGCAAATAATGGCCGTTTTCGTCCACTGTGAGCCCGCCTATAAATTGGGCCCTTCCATCTTTTTCACAATGCTACCGCTCACCAGAACACCAGAGCAAAGGCATGCACCCAGCTCCTTCGCAGCCCCCTCCCCCCATTCCCGTCTTTGACTAATGTAGCTATATAATGTTAGAACCCTTCTTGTTCATCGACGACGACGACGAGACGAGACGAGACCAACATCCAGCTTGTTCATCTCCTCTCGATAAACCCAACTCGCTGCCTTGCCAACCAACACCTTTCTTCTATCGAATCCCGAGTACTCCTTTTTTCCCCGTCCCTAACCCCCAAGTCATCCTCGTAAGTGGCCGGCCTCCTTCCCCCAAATGTGTCGAAAAGCGTACTACGTGCACACCTGCGGCCACACGAGCTGGGGTCCCCACGACCGCTGCGGCAACCGCTATGTCTGCCCGCCCGAGCGCACCATTTATTACCCGATACACTCGAGGACCTGCTGCCGCTTCTGCTGCAAGTCTCGTAAATAATAATACGAAAACTAAGAGCGGCGATATATGTATTGCCGGGTGCGTGTGCCCTCCGGGTAGTATTGTGTATTGTGTGGCGGCGTTTTTATTTTTTTTATTTTTTGCAATTTCAACCACTTCGGGGCCCCCTTTTTTGGACTTTGTTTATTCGTGGTTCGCCTTTTCGTTCTTGAGTACAGGCAGGTCCTTGGGCCCAAGAATGGAAATAGGCCTGGTATGTACACGCCTGATGAGCGTTGACCCTCTTTTCTGATATCCATGGACTAGGCCAGCTGGTGTGCATGCTACGTCATTCCCTAGAATAACATGTTCGTTCAGAAAGCAGCACAGCAGCACACCGACGAGACGAACCCTCAGCCGCCACGAACGGGTTGTGGCGGCCGTTTCGAGAGGCTCCCCGTTGCCCTGGATGCTGGGGGGGAGGGTGGGAAGGGGGGTCGTTTGTGTGGTTGATTAGCAGATGGTGAAGACTCTCAACTCCGCTCTATAGTTAACTAGTTAGTTTGTTGGTGCAATGGAATTCACATAGATTCATCAGTCAAGACACGCCCGACGGGCTCGGGCATCTAGTTAACTACACGAGTAGGTAGTGACCAGACAGCTAGTTACTCCGTAGACTACCGTCGATGAACTGGCAGTAGGATACAGGTGGTTCACGCACGGCCCCCCAGGCAGCATTGCAGTTCGGCCCTCCCCGCATCAAGCATCGAACCCTCACGGGGCTGAACAATAATCACAAACCACGCCATTGTTCGTTCGACCGGGCGGCCAACTCCCTGCAGGTCATTATTATTACATCGGTCGCTGCCAACCAACCAAGGCCAAAAAAAAAAAAAAAAAAAAACAAAACAAGAAGCGTGCAGCCGTTGGACGACGGGTGAAACAACCCAGGGTCTCTCCCGCACACACAGCTGGGGGGTTTTTTGCTGCCTGCTGAAACATATCACTAGGTAGTTATGTATCTGAGGCGGGCGGTCTTTGTTGTTCCTCGCCTTATATTTCTTGTCGTTAAGGCAAGGAATAACTAGTCAACTGCCTACTCGACGGCTTCCCCTCCTCCCCCGCCTTGACGCTGCTGCGTTCTTGTTCTTGATCTTCCGAGGGACAGAGAGACAGAGAGAGAGACACACCACACCACCACCCTTGGATATCTCCCTTGAACATCATCCTTGCGCTACGACGTTCCTGATACAGACGTACTACTTGTCTTCCCTCCAGCCCGGACATCGCCAGAAAAAAAAAAAAACACACATACACACACAAGACAAGACAAGACAAGACACCCTGCGAAGCCCCTCAAATCCTCGCAGCAGCAAGGCCCCTTTCGCTCAGGTCCGACGTGATCCCGTCCTTCTCCTTTTTTCTTTTTGGCGCGGGTTGCAACGCACCACTCCTCCTCCTCCTCCTCCCGGGGGACGGGAAGAGAAGCAGAGGCAGAAGAAGCAGCAGGACCACCAGTAATCTTACTCCTGGTAAATGAAGCAAATCCTCCTCCAGCTCTGGCTGCTCCCCTTGCATTCTCAGCACTCCCATCATCGCTCGAGCGAACTTGGCGTTTGTGGGCACGTACGGGCCAGCAGCCGCATCGTGACGGGTGCAGGTCGTCGAGCAGAAGGGCGCGCGCTCAAACCGCTGTTTCACCACCGGGGGCTCTGGGGCGCCGTCCTGGCTGGAAACTCTCCGCCAGCCGCACGTTCCTCTACGCCGTCGAGGAGCACTGTGGGCAAAAGCCGCCGTCACAAGTTACTCAAGCAGCTCTGATGGGACAGCTCCAAAACGTTGTCAACGGCCCTCGGAGCGTCGCTCCCGGTGAGCTTGGCCATCAGCCCAGACCAGACGACCGTCCTCACAGCCAATTAGTATGCAGAACTTCCCTGGCCTGGCCGGCCGGGCCTCCCCCCCTCCCCTCCTCCCCAGCCCTGGTTCATCGTCGCCCGTGCCACACCTTGCCCTGAGCTAATAATTGTATGTTCTTCTTTTTTTTTTTTTTTTTTCCTAGCGGGAATGCCAGTCTCTGCGTACCGCACGAATCCTTTGACGGGAGAGAGGTCTCTTGGGTCGCATCCTGGCCGTACAAGCTTCCGCGAGCGGGAGTCGTCCCGGAGAGAGCAGGAGGGCCTGGCGCCCGCACCAAGCGCTCTTCGACGCCGTGGTGACAGATCTCGGGGCGGACCTACCTGCTGCGGCTGTACGCCGTCATTGGCGCGCACGTCACCGAGCTTGCGCCGGTCGCAACGAGTGAGGCCGGGCACAGGCCTGCGGCACGGAGTTGTTCTATGTATCCCAGCCACGGGAGCTCCACGAGGTTCTTCTACCTGCTTGGCGAGCTGTGCAACACCGACAGCGTTTTTTCGCGGTGGAGTAGTATATCCAGCTGAAGGAAGGAAGTGCAGACAGACGATCTCGACGCTGCCAGCGGATTACGCGAAGCCCTAAGGGTGCGTTCGCCGGGTGGACGCAGGGTCGACCGGCGGGTGTGTCTGCGGTGGTTGGCGGCGGGGCCGCGCGGAGGCTCCCGAAGGGGGAAGTAGTCTGGTGACCACACAGCAACAGGCCCGGGCGCAGGAGCGTCGCGGGCGCGCGCTTTGGGCATGCTTGGAGCGCGGCCAGACCGCGGAGGGGCCTGGTCAGATCGGTGCCGATGGGAGCACAGACTGATTTTCATTTCCCAGATTGTTGAAATTGGGAAAATCCTGGGTGCATAATTTATTTCAGTCTCGAGTTGTGCGGGCATTGATTGATATAGATTATTGGCAGCGGGACGACAGTAGCGAGGCATGGCAACGCAATCTATTATTCTGCAGGCCTCACATGTGAAGAAGAAGCAGAATAATAAATAGATTAAACACGCAGTTCTTAGAGATACTGCCGCAGGGCCTTGCCGTTGGGTCGCCAAACGCAGGCTGGCCCCAAGACCAGAAACAAACACAAAACAGCAAAAATAATGAAATGAAAGGAAAGCAGCGCATTTTTTTGCAGCAGGCAAGCGA